TCTTCTAGTAGCTCCTCAGTCACATTCATTACATTGAATAAGAGCTTTATAATATTAATTTCCAAAGACGACCGACGAGTGTAGAAGACTGGCGGTGGTCGCGTCCTTGTCCTTTCCTTCTATGAAATTACGACCATGCGAATCTATTCGGCGTACTTCCTGAGATTTCTGCACGGTTATAATTGTGGCGGAGCCGACCTAACTAGAAAAAAGAAAGACCAGAGGAAGATATAAAACAGAAAACGGCTATAATACAAATGAAGTCGCCGCGATCTTCGTGCGGTGATTCTGATTGTAGTGTGATGCTAATGCTCAGACGGGATCCCGCAGAAAGAGTAGAAAAGAGTGAGTCGGTGCTCAAAAAAATCAAAATGCTCCGACTGAGTTGTTTACGTCTAGAAGAATAAAGCTATTAACGTAAATACTACGGTAGCTAGTTCGGATCAAGACTTAGTTGTATTCCATTACCTTGCACTTATTGTAGTTCCTTTTCCTATAAAGTTGTATTCAATTACCATGTGGGCTATGTCGTCATCAAGGCTAGAGGCTAGCTCTTCTAGCTCTCCGCAGTAAGCTAGCTCTTCTAGCTCTGCTAGCTTCAAGGCCAACTCCTCGTCTATCATAGAAGACCATCATGTCTACGAAAAATTTTACTCCACCTTGTCTTAAAATGACAGGGTCCATCGAGTCTGCCGAGATAGAGAGAGGCAGCGTTGCGACGTTGGTTCCCTTCGCCCCAAGCAACCAAGAGAGCCCAAAATAGGCGTTGACAGCGAACGAAAGAAGGCACAAAAATTGCACCACGCGCAAAATTAGAAGTGGTGGATTGTGAGCGCGTTTTGCTATGACTGTGTTCGTAGTATGAATGATGAAGAAGAAGAAGAAGAAGAAGAAGAAGAAGAAGAAGAGCATTATATATTTATATAATTCAAATTTATTGCAAAAGTAGAAGCAAATATAGACTGCAGTCAGCACTTACCTGTGTTTAACGTTAAGGATACCTTGAGTGCAAAATTAGAAGTAGATTGCAAAAGTGACTCGCTCTTACGCATGATTGAGTTGATTCATTAGTCTTCACTCTGCGTGGAATTAATGACTATGACGTCGTTAGTAATTCTAAAAGGCTCATTTACGGGGAACGGCGATCGCCTATTCTTTTCTCAATGAGTGGCATCATGTAACGACTGCAGCTCTTCCTAGCTCTTAAAAGCGCAGGGTAGGATAGGATGGGCTAGGATAGCCTATGCTAGGATGGGGTAGGTTATAGGATAAGCTAGCGCTGGCGATGGGACTCATCTCAAATAGTCTCGTGGGCGCTCTTTGTAGTTCCTGACATCGATCATTTTGATTCTTCCCTAGGCTGTTTTGTATCTTCAAGAGTATAATTCTGGCGCTACAAAAATGTATGAAAATGGACGAGGAGACAAAAACAAAAGAAACGAAGGGCTGAAGCATTTCACTTACATGCTTTTCTCCCTGCTTACTCCTAACACCATGCATACGCATTGCAGCTATCAAAACACACACTATGAAGCCAAATAAATCTAGTACCATTTTACAGAGAGAGTAGAAAGGGATGAAAGAAAAAGAAAATATGGCTACGCGCTTCGCGATTATTATTACACCATTCGACTTCTACACTTAGGAAACTTGATAGTGATAAAAGTAGATAGCTTTCGTCTAATATTATACAACATGAGAATACTTTTATCGAATGGAAGCCATATCCACAGCGCCAGCTTTCCTTTCAAGGAACTGAGGAACCATCCCTCTTCTTTCTCTTCTCCAAACTGCAGCGACTTCGTTCTTTTAGAGCATCTATTCGACAAACAGAAATAAGCACGCCATGTGTGTATACTGCAAGAAGAAGCCTTTTGGTACTGTTGTACGCGCAAGGATAGGCCCTGGCAGCGAAGTAAGCAAGTAACTGCTCTCCTTCTTGGACAGTAATCGAAATAGAAATACTGAGAGAAGAACAACAGCAACACAGAACGAGGCTGCCGGGAAACGTGCAGCGAGGTGGCTGCGCCCTCACCCTGGCAAGGCAGGCGACTTTCAAGGCTATGCACACAGTCAGCGCAGCGTCGCCCGTCACGCGGGTCACGCGGGCAAGCCCGCGCCCTAAGGCGGACCCCCTCCAGCAGCTAAGTAGCTGACAAGCGCCCGGGAGTCATATCTGATCACCCAACGTGGAGCCCCACACGAGGCAAGGCCGAACGGTCTGCCAGAGGTAGCAGCGCGCGCAAGCGGCGGCTGCTCCAGCGTGCACACGATGCAAGATAGAAGCGGGGCGGCGCCCCTTCGTCGAACCATGCGCCACAGTGAGGGCCCGAGAGCATTCCGACGCCCTGACTGAGCAAAGCACCAGACGCGACAGCCTACTCCGACAGACTGACCAGGCCCAAGCTGATGCCGCGGTGGTGCGGCGGCTTTTTGGTGCAGCGATTCTCGCTACTTCAGCCCCGGCTGAGACTGTGGGCCGCTGCGTGACTCCTTCGAAGTCGAGGGGCCTACGATCGGGGCAGCCCTTTGCTAGGGAGTACGCACCAAGGCCAACCCCAGCCAGCGGGTAGCCGTCGTAACCCCGCGCCAGTTCAACCCTCGCGCGCGCGATTCACTTCAAAGCCCCGCACTGCCGAACGATTTCAGCACAGCCCTGCACCCGGCCCCCCGCGCCGCCTTTCTAAGCGAGACCGACCCAGGCCACCAAGCAGACCGCGCCGGCGCTGAGGTTCACGGGCCAGCTAAGTCACCGGCGTAGCAAGCTCAGCAAGCTTTGTTTCCCTCCGAGACAAGGCAGGCGACCAACCACCGACCGCACCGAACGGAGGCAACGAGGGCGCCCCGCGTAGCCTGCCAGGTCGCCCCAGATACACAGAGCAGCACGCGCAGGGAGCGAGACCACAGCAAAGACCGTGACAGACGCGGGGAGCTATGGGAAAGACCTCCTCCGGGGCGTAGTATATTCGCGGGGGGGGGCTACCTACACACTCAGGCTGGGGCGATTAGCGAGCGGAGGGACCCACCTCCAGAGAGGGCGCGGGCAGTACTGCAGCAAGCACAGACTGACGCAGCACCTGCTGGAGTGCTCCGCGTGCCAGACGCTAGCAAGCTGCCACGGGATTCCGGCAGATGTTGGGGCGGGGGCGGCGGCCAGTCCGAAGCCGCTGGTCCCGTACGTACCTCCGCGGCCTTGCGGTCGAAGTCAGCGGCGCGCTCCCTCTTGCGAGCGCAGCCGCCACGCCTCCAGAAATGAGACAGAGGGCGAGGGGTAGCGGCCGCTGTGGTAAAACCGTCGCTGCCCACTACGATAGGGCGGGGCCGAGCTAAATGCTGGCGAAGACAGAACACGGGGGAGACAACCAAGCACGTGCCGACGAAGGAGAGGACAGACGAAGACAAGACGAAAGCAGAAAGCACGAAGAACGAAGCACGAACGCCAAGCAGACCCACCCCGACGGCCTCAGGCTGAAAGGAAATGACCGAGAAAGCAAGAACGACCACCAGGCAGCCCGACCGCGCGACACCGCTACCCACGTCGGCCGCTACCCACACGCGCTGCCTGCTGCATAGCCCAACACACCAGAGCCAGCGGCGACGAGAAGGCAACGCGCGGCCAACAAGGCTAGCCGAAACATAGTCGCAGCGGCGACCATAGCACAAAACACACGAACCAAAAAAAGAAATCCTGGGAGGCCGTACGCGCTGCCCGGGGCGCACCAATACAAACAAACAAGGACAGCGTAGCTAGGTCTAAAATGATCTTCCCGTCATTAATTGTGCCTGATTTCAAATTACCGTTTTGTTACAGGCCAAGTTTTGACTCAACATCTTCTGTCTGGTAGAGAGTTAGTCTCATCTTGCTTAAAAGTCCTTATGTATCCTTTGTTTTTAGGAAGGGTCCGAGATGATTGATGAATTAAAAATATGCGAGGGAAGCAGTTATTCGAATTTCCTTAACAGCTTTGTAAGGGCCCGAGGCCCACGCATCCTCCTGTATTAGAAACTCCAAAAAAAGTCACCTTCTACTAGAACTGTCGCTCACTACGCTGGTGCAGTCATGCAAATAGATACTAAACTACGACTACCACGATAGTGGAAACTAAGACTAGGGGCACCGCCAGCGCATCTGCCGCAGCATCTTTTACCGAGTTTCTATTTGAAAAGTAGTGCTAAAAGATGATGTTCTAAGTGATGATGGGCTGTCGTTCCCTCTAATGAGAGCTAAGACAAAAACGAGAACGACAGCGAAGTCCTCTACATACTGTGAGGAAGAACATGAATTCTAAAACAAGAACGACAGCGAAGTCCTCTTCTGTGAACAAGAAGATGAATATAATTTTTGTGAGCCTTAAGTCCAAGTCGAATCGCGCAGAACCACGACCAGCCTGCATTCTCCTTCAGTTTATGTTTGTAGTAGCTTTTTCAAATAGACCTTTTCTTTGATCGAAGTAGTACCTACGACCAGGTACGAGCACGAGATGCTATTGCAGAACAAGCCTTCTTCAAATTTTTTCTATCCGTCGTGGTTGTTGAGTGTGATGAAGTAGAGATGAGGTTGCTATAATGAAGGACGTAGAAGTAGAATCTGAATGTTCATGTTGATGTTCCACCTTCGTGATATTTCGACTGATTAATGATTCATGCTTGTTCATGAGGATCTACTTAGTAGTGGATGAAGTTCAGAGATTGGTTGCATTTGGATTTTTGATTTGATCCCAATCACTCTTCCCTCATCACTCTTCTTTTCGATTCTTCAAGGTGATGATGATATTTGTTGTAGCGCCCTAAGTAAGAAACAAGAAAAATGATGATGATGACATTGAAAATTATAGCGGACGCCCCTCTGTGATCCTCATTCACTCACTCTCTCACGCTCCTACTCATTCAGGTCGGTAATATTTTTTGATACTTTTTTCCATGCCGTGTCCTCGTGAGCGTCCATGTCGTGAGCGCGTGCCATCTACTCTCTCTCTCTCTCTTCTAGTTAGCCTTTTTTTGCCCACACCCACCCACAGATGAAAGTGGCGAGTCGTGGATGGTTTTCGTTTTTCATCTGTACTTTTCAAATTCAAAAAAATATATATGATCGACATGTAGTTGTAGAGAGAGTACACAGAAGTTCTTCTACAGAGATCATACAGTTGATGGTTTAGAGTCTAGACGTTGAGCTTAGGGTTCTTTGACAGGCGTGAGAGGCAGTCGTGCAGGTGGTGTTTTTGAACAAAAAGTCGGCTCAACAGACCCAGACGACAGATAAATAATAGGAAAGAAGTTCCCGATTTTGCAGTACTAGAAATTTAGTTATGTAGAAAAAATGAAGGCGAAAAAGACTAAGACACTACTGCTTCTCCCTACAGCTCATGATTGCCTTATTCTTCCGTCCTCATTGACAAACAGCGGGCTCATGACCGACGAGCATAGATAGAGGTGAATATTTAGTAACTGTGTATGTACAAGAACAAGTATCAAACACGACCTAGTAGTTTTTTTAGTACAGACGATGTTGTTCTCGAATAGAGATTGATATGTAGTACTGCTCTACTTTTGATTTTGTTCTCGAATAATAGAGATTATATAGTACAGGATATACAATTCAACAAACAAAAGTAGAGTGTACTCTACTTTTGTTTGTTCAATTTGATAGCGATAGGTAAGAGTCGATGTCGAAAAACTGTATTCATCTCGAGAAGATGTTACTATTGCAGGTTCCCTACAGAGTGCACTACAGGGCAGTGGGAGTCTGAGGGGTCTGATCAAAGTGGCAGATTATTCATGGTTTATGATTCAGGGCTCTTCGCCAAGCACAGTGCACGGGATTGAGGAGAAATACAATAGACAGTATACGACGACACACTACAAAGTGGGAGTCTGGCACTCAGGTTATGGCAGATTACGGTGAGGATGTGTTTCCACGTTCTGTTCGAGCTCGATGGTCGTGCTGTGCTTGTTACATCTACAAGTTTCAGTTTGACCTTCAATAAAAAGTAGAACTATTTAGTTAGAACTTATCAGTAAAACGGTTGGGATCGAAGGAATTACGGAGTACGATCGTGATCGAGTTTAGTTGTAGTTGCTTGGTTACAACTAGTACTGCGTAGGAGTTTAGTAGTTTGCTTGTGAATATCGTTAACTACCCACGACAATGAAGATTATCTTAATCATGACTCCCGGTCAATCATGTCTTCTACTGTTTCGCGTGTTCCATCGAACAGGGTGTCCCGCATCGAGATGACGTAGAAGCGAAACGACCATTGACATGAAGAGAAAGTAGATAGAGGATCACCCTCTATCCTTTTGGAAGAAGATCGATGGTACTTTGAGACACTTAGTCGTGGTACTTTGAGACACTTAGTCGTGGTACTTTGAGACACTTAGTCGTGGTACTTTGAGACACTTAGCAGCACTGGATCTGGAGGATGATCCTAAGAAAGAAGAATCGAAGGTAGAGACACTTCTGCATCACAGCAACCACCCGTAAATAGAATGAAGAGCGTACCTACACTAATAACCCTTACCCTATTGAATGAGGGTAAACTAAAACTACTAGTAACCACCCATAAATGAAAAAGCGCAAAGGCAGACGGCGATGCCAAAGCCACTGGAATTTGCGTGCCAGAATCGTCAATCTTAGAAAGCGAATTCTAAGCAATCAATCTTCTCCCTCCCACCTTTTTCTGATGTCACAGTGCCACTCATGATAAGCGAAACTGTTAAGTTAGAGGTGGAGTAGAGAGGAACTACACCTAGAACTAGATCGCTATTGCAGTTAATCAAGGACAAAATCATATCGCTTGAGATGATCATCATTAGAGTGTATCGGTATTCTATCAATTGATGACGTTAGTCGATTCGGATTGGACCTACTAACCTTGATAGATTTTGAATGAATTATCCACAATTATATATGATATCTCAATGGCAAACCCTCTCCATAAAAAGTGAGCCTTGGCGCTCTCTTTCAGGCGTGACCACCTGTTCAGGTGCGGCCATGAGAGGAAAAAGGCGATGGAGCTCCTTGTGGAAGTTGTTCTGCTTAGAACCAAGAGCGATCCACCTCCGGACTCATCTTGGTTCCCCTTTTTTTATCCACAATTTGTGGTAGAGCAGACCTAACTAGAAAAAGCAAAAACCTGGAACAGTATATAATTGTAACATATGGAGGAAAATTCGTAGAGTTTGAGTTTATCAACTCTCACTCTACCGAAGGCCCTTCTCACTTTAATCAACATGACGAGCATTGTCATAGTACAAAACCATTCCTCGAAAGCTGAGCGCCCTTCTAGGTGGAACAAACGTGGTCTTTCAGAACTCTTGAAAAGTCTAAGTACTTGAAAGATGAGTCGGGAGGACAAATGCTGGGGACCAACCAAGATGGTGCTGCGGTGTTGGTTCTTGTAGCCTTAACCTGCACTATCTTCAGAAAAGGTAGCATGTCTTCCTCCCGCTCCTCGCGCATCTTGCGCAGGAAGACTTGAATAATCGACTTTACCTCAAGATCTTGCAAGACCTGATGAAGATGATGGGTGTGTTGGGATAAAAAAAGGTGTCAGTGAGAGAGGAACAAAAAGATTTTATGCATCTTCCTCTACAAGAAGTATACCTTGTAGAAAAGGGATCGTAGTACGGGTAAAAAATAGACTAAAGCAACTGTATGTGATGTGCTTGTGGCTAGCGTGGTATCAACATGTACTCATCGAAGGTCCAGGCACGAGCTATTGTAATTCTTGGTACTATTTCGTTATTCTGCTACCGGTAAGACTAAGAGCAATGCCCTGCAAGAGACGTCTTCAAGAGCAATGCCCTGCAAGAGACGTCTTCAAGACTACACTATTTATGTCATGTGTGTGCCCCTTATATGGTCGATCGCGAGCACTGTAGAGACTACATTAAACTACATTCAATCTCCACATATAATAACACCATAATATATTTTACAGCAATACCATATCTGCTAATTCCGGCGACTCGGTTCCGATAGAAATGGCTACCAGAGTTTTGACATCTTCCGCAAGTTGGGTCTCCAGCACCCTACCAATGGACGACTCCACTACATCAGGCTCCAACGAGACCACGCGCTTGAGAGGGAGACTCTCTTTCTCTTTCTCGACTTGGTCATGTTCAGAGCCTTCGTAGGCTCCACGGCGAAGATTTTCGACTTGATCGGAGGGGCCAGCACTTGGCGGTGGTGGTGGCGGTGATCGTAATGCTCTTGCTGCTCCTGGTGCTACTGCTCCTGGCGCTACTGCTCCTGGCGCTACTGCTCCTGGTGCTGCTGTACTAACTCTCGTGGTACTCTTTGTAGAAGTAGCTGCAGTAGTACTAACTCCACCTCTGCTTAGCGCTAGTTTTTCGCTATCCCTGGCTCTTGAGTGAGATGCTGCCATGTGTCCTTTCCCTTTTAGTTTCTTTCCCCCTTAAATGATCCAGCAGGGGGACTCCATTCAGCATACTCGTCCACATGGGATAATGATACAAACATGGCCTTAATGCACTAGCTCCCGTTGTACTCTTTGTAGAAGTAGTTGCAGAAGAAGTTGCTACTACCTGCTCACCGAACAAAAGTTGAAAAAGCCCTCCGTTTCTATCGTCATGAGAACGAGAGAAGCTTTGGAAGGTTAGAGAATACAATGAGGGAGTAGGAGACTCAAACCAAGCAAAAACGAATACTACCTTACCACTCGTCACCGTATGCGTAGTAGTTCTCGTGCAGTATATATTCGAATAACTGAAATAACTACCGAGAAACTACTTAAAATAAGCAAGATACTGAACAAGGAAGAGTAGCCCTGTCAAAGCTACCCCCCTTATTTCAGTCACTAACTTGGTTACTTTCAGTTTTCGAGTACCCAGAAGCTTTTAGTCGTGACTAAGATTACTGCACCATAAAAAAGCCAAGGTCTTCTCGTCTGCTGCGCCTGCTTGTGCGCGTGCAATCGCTTCTAGGGTGGAGACTAAAGTTAGTGCCTTGCAAATTGAACTTCTTAAAAGACTACCTATATTAGTATTTATAGTATTAGCAATTGCCAGAAATCTCTTAAGGAGCTCCCTTAAGGAGCTTCCTTAAAGAAATCAGTTTCCTTAAAGAATTTTTATTATAAAGAGTTATTATAACTTTCCTTAAGAGGGAAAAAATTCCCTTAAGGAGCTTCCTTAAGGACAAGCTGTTATAAACTTAGGCTAATAACAGCGGCTCCTTAAGGCCCTTGCTAGTGCTACGAGTTCAAAGGTGTCACGAACGTGCTAACGTGTTCGCGGCTGTTAGTTTGTAGGCTACTCACGTACACCAGCCACATCTGCAGCAAGACACTACGCGCCCACCCCTAGCGAATCGCCCCAACGAACGAGCTGCCAGCCGCTACTCTTGTCATATATCGCCCAGCGCCTTTACTTTTTTTCAAAAACTTCAGGGAGGTCATTCAAATACAGAGAAAACTGAACGACCTCCCTGAAGTTTTTGGAAAAAAGTTAGCTCGCTCCCCTTCCGCGACTACCTTCCGCGCACAGCAATCGACCACGGCACAGGAGCGCGCGGCAGCCCTTGGAGATGGTTGACCAGTCTACTTCTAACCAGCACAAAAGCGGGAGAATTGTAAGGGAGAGGGTGAGCACTTGAAAGGGTAGAGGCTGACGAGCGTGATCATATTGATGCGCGAGAAGGCCAAAGACATACACCTCGGCGCTTCAAAGTCGCAGCCGTTGGGGATGTCGATGGCTGTGAGAATGATAGCCGTGAGCACTTGCGTGTCTGAAGGGTGGACCCTGGTGAGCGTCATCATGTCCATGAGAAGGCCAAAGGTGTGCAACTTTGCGCGTGAAGGTCGAAGCCGTTGAGGATGTTGATGTCTGTGAGAATGATAGCCGTGAGGACTTGCGTGTCTGAAGGGTGGACCCTGGTGAGCGTCATACATCATATCCATGAGAAGGCCAAAGGTATACATCTCTGTGTATGAAAGTCGAAGCCGTTGAGGATGTCGATGTCTGTGAGAATGATAGCCTTGAGGACTTGCATGTCTGAAGCGAAGGGTCGACCTTGGTGCGCGTCATCATATCAACGAGAGGGCCAAGGACGTACATCTGTGTGTGTGAAAGTCGAAGCCGTTGAGGATGTCGATGTCTGTGAGAATGATAGCCGTGAGGGCTTGCATGTCTGAAGGGTGGACCCTGGTGAGCGTCATCATATCCATGAGAAAGCCAAAGGCATGCATCTCGGTGCTTCAAAGTCGAAGCCGTTGAGGATGTCGATGTCTGTGAGAATGTTAGCCGTGAGGTCTTGCATGTCTGAAGGGTGGACCTTGGTGAGCGTCATCATATCAACGAGAGGGCCAAAGGCGTGCATCTGTGTGTGTGAAAGTCGAAGCCGTTGAGGGTGTCGATGTCTGTGAGAATGATAGCCGTGAGGGCTTGCATGTCTGAAGGGTGGACCCTGGCGAGCGTCGTCATATCCATGAGAAGGCCAAGGGTATGCATCTCTGTGCTTGAAGGTCGAAGCCGTTGAGGATGTCGATGTCTGTGAGAATGATAGCCGTGAGGCCTTGCATGTCTGAAGGGTGGACCCTGGTGAGCGTCATCATATCCATGAGAAGGCCAAAGATGTGCATCTCTGTGTGTGAAAGTCGAAGCCGTCGAGGATGTCGATGTCTGTGAGAATGATAGCCGTGAGCACTTGCATCTCTGAAGGGTGGACCCTGGTGAGCGTCATCACATCCATGAGAAGGCCAAAGATCTACGTCTTTGCGCTTGAGTGTCGAAGCCGTTGAGGATGTCGATGTCTGTGAGACCGATAGCCGTGAGCGCTTGCAGTTCTGAAGGGTGGACTTTGGTGAGCATCATCATACCCATGAGAAAGCCAAAGGCATACATCTTTGCGCTTGAAAGTCGAAGCCGTTGGGGGTGTCGATGTCTGTGAGAGTGATAGCCTTGAGCACTTGCGTGTCTGAAGGGTGGACCCTGGTGAGCGTCGTCATATCCATGAGAGGGCCAAAGGTATACAGCTTTGCCTGTGAAAGTCGAAGCCGTTGAGGATGTCGATGCCTGTGAGGAAGTGGATGAGGGTGGACCCTGGCGGGCGTCATCATGTCCATGAGAAGGCCAGGCGCATGCACCTCCGTCGGTGAAGGCTGAAGGCTGAGGACGTCGATGCCTGTGCGTGAGAATGATAACTGTGGGCCATTGCATGTCTGAGGCGCGGACCGTGGTGGGCGTCTTGCGTCATGTCCATGAAACAGCCAAGCTTATAGACACATCCCCGCGCCTGAAGGTTGGGGCCCAGCTTCTGGCTCTGCGCATAGATATGCCCAAGCGTGGCTTTCTCATGGGCCTCGTCCATGACGCTCGCCAGTGTCAGCCCTTTGCCATCCCATGGGTATGTTATGCTTTAGGATTCTCCTGGACATGATCACACTCAAAAGGGCCCAACCTCTGCGCCTAAATATGTCCAAGCGTGGCCTTCTCATGGACTCCATGACGCTCAGCGGGCCAGCCTTGGCGCCCATTGGCTTGCCCCTAGCAAGCAAGTTGGCCAAGGCAGTAGCCACAGCGGTAGCCTCCTCACTAGCCTCACCACAGTGGGGGCCAGCTTCCCTGCCTTGGCGAGCAGACTTGGCGACTTTTTTCGTTTGTCTTTCTGTCTCTTAGTGGTCAACCTGTCTAGTTGTTAACCTATGCCCAGCGCAGCGGGCCCTTGATGGGCCCGCTTTCTGGGCATGTATTGATATTCTCTATAGTGTCAGTGCTGCTTTCGGATGATAGAGAAGATATGTAGACCATAGTCAGACTATGCACAGCATGCTTCCAGATGATAGCGATATGTAGACCATAGTCAGACTATAGTTTGCTTTCAGATGTTGATAGGAAGTGGAAGGAGGTCATAGACTATAATATGCGTTCATCAGATGACAGAGATTGGTCAAGTTGCAACCCTTAATAGACGGTGCGACGACAGCCACATCAGGCCGATCCTTAGCATCGGTGTCAGGTCAAGCCCGATCACACTCGTCTTTTGAAACGTGCTCCCCGAAAGGTCGCTCAGGAATGAGATGAGGTCTTGACGCATGTTGTGAAAAAATAACTTGTCGTTGTCATTCTCTTGATGGAAGATGTCATCCGGAGGATTGGAAGTCGCACTACTCGGAGGACTGGAAGTAGAAGGACTAGAAAAACGAACTTCGTTATTGTTGACTGACTTAGTTGCGTTCGAGTCAATATGAGTCGTGGCGTTTTCAGTAGTTGAATTTTGATCTTCATCTACTTCCATGGAGGTAGTTGAGGCCCTCCATCTACTTGCAGTACCAGAAGAGAGGCCCAGTCTGCCGATGCTGGTGTAATGATTTAGAGCTCACGCCGATCCTCATCACTCTAGAATTCACGCTTCTGGGGAGAGGGATCTTGGTCCTTCTTGTTCTCCTGAGAGAACACGCATCTTGGACCTTCCATCCTGAGAGAGACCCAGCTTGGTCCTTCTTGTTCTTCCTGTTCATCTACATCTTGGAGGACAGCATATTAAGAGGACATCAAGGATTACTATAAGAGGAAAACCTTAAATGCCGTTCCGATGTGACGAGGCTGACCGTCCGCTCCACAAATGAGGCACTCTCACTGTCGCTGTCGCTGTTCAGGAAATGCATGCGGAGTTTACGCTGTTCAGCTGGCAGTGAAAAATCTAATTAGAGCTCACCGCAATTCACTTCTTCCCTTCAAGATTTTTTTCTTCAGCTTCAGGATCCTAAAAAAAAGGAAACCACACACAGACACAGAGGAAACCACACACAAAGGGTATGAATTGCATCGAGCCTTAACGTAAGGAGCCTAGGAAGTTATGCAAGATAAATCTGCTCATGTGGCTGCCCACCGGTGAGGTGCTTGATTTAGAACTAAAAAGACAAAAAATTCCGACAAAAAAAAGTCTCAGGCAGCAACTTGGGTCCCGTTTCCCCTTTAAAAACGGCACCAAGATAACTTGCGTCCCGTTTCCCGTTTAAAAACGGGACCAAGATCGATTTCTTAGTTGATGACGAGGAAGTATTTGCCTTAGTGTCTACCGCTGGTAGTGCTGCCACTTCTGCATTAGCATCAGAGCTTACGCTTGTTCTCCCGAGTGACGAATGATGATCAACACCTTCACCTAGTAGAGCATCTTCTTTGCCGCCATCCCTGCGAACATGATGATCACGATGTTGCTCCACAAGAAAGTGCGACCGAAGCAGAACATCAACTGGCTGCTTTTCTTCGACTGCTCCGCGCTGTCCTTAAAGGTAGTTTTTCACTATCCCGCGTCGGGTGGGTTCTCCTTTTTGCCTCGTCTTAGTTTCCCCGTTAAATCAAGGAGGACTCCACTCAGCATAGTTCATCACATGGGATAGTGATAAACTACTTACCCTTAATGTCCATGACCATGGCTGCGATCATCCTCCACTTGTCCTCGCGATGGTGACTCTATCCGCGAAGTCCTCGACAATTCGTGCCGCAGACTGTGCATATGAGACCGGACCAAAAGATGGAATGTTGGAAACATGTCGCTCCCACTCGTAGCGTATTGCAAAAACAGTAGGAAGACGACGTCGGCTAATGAGTGACCGGGAACAGCAACAGTCTTGCTCGGCTGCATAATTGTTCGTGTCGTAGGAGGGCTCGGACTATGACGAGTTGTATCATGACTATGAGGGGTATCATGTGCTGCAGGAGCAGGGACGGTGCTCTTCGTCGCTTGTAAGAACGTTGCTATTAGAAGAGGGACGGATGGCGATGACGATGATGATGATGATGATGATGATGACCCAGGATCTTGACAGCCATTGATGTTGGCGCTAGTTCATCTTAATAATCTTTACGGATCCAAGAGGCCCAACCACATTTTTGATCCTTAAGGCTAAGATGCCTTCAGCAGCCGCCTTCGGATCAGAGTCGAATTGGTAGACGCGTCTTCGTAAGGCGATAAGGATATCTAGAGCATCGCTCGCAGAGTTGAATGCATTCTGGAAGTAAGCCACACGATTTCCCCATGTAATGCGAAGATGCTCCTTCTGCCGTTTTTCCTCTGCCAGGTGGTTCTTTAGAGGAAGTTGAAGAGCATCTAAAATTAAAATCTTATCCTGGAAATCATACTTATACTCGGTTATTGATATTGTGCTTCTGTACTAGTATCTGATAAGTCTACTTGTTGGTTACTAGTATTTTGGGAGTTCGAATTTCTAGTGTGGAAAGTAGAACCCTTAACTTGTCTAGCTCCTGCGTTAGCCTAGTGACCTCGTTTTCCACTTCAAACAACTCTAGGAATCTCGTATGCGCACGGCGAAGCAATTGGCTTACTTCCGGTGTCATACGAGCCTCCTCGTCCTCTGCTCCATTCACTTTCACGCTCCCCCATTTCTCTACGAAATGGTATAAATCGTTGAGGTTTGCGACGCTAGGACGATAAGCGATCACTCGTTGTGCCGAAACCTCTGTTCTCGGCTTTGGGGGAAGGTTAATACTATTGTCACTTGTTCCTTGATGGTCCTTGTCACTTGTTCCTTGATGGTCCTTGTCACTTGCTATTTGATGGTCCTTGTCACTTGTTCCATGATGGTGTCCACCACTTCGCTGTTGTTTCGGAGAGACGAAGTTATCTTGAACTCGTCCACCTCGTACATTTGCGCTCTCTGCTGCCTCTAAACCAGCACCATCGACTTCGACTCCGATGCGTGTTTTATACTTGAACACTGAAGCAATTCACTTCTCAATGCCAACATTAACAAGTGAAGAAGGCTTGTAGAAATGAAAACGAAATGCTTCAACCCATAATTTTAGTTGTTCGTGATGTGTCTGCAGGTCTGGTTGCAGCTTTTGCACGTGTGCGACGGCGATTGACTAGTAGAAGCAAATCTGCGAGCATCCCCTGAAGAGGCCTTGCAGACTTTTTTAGCTTTGTTGTTGAGGCAGACTTTTTTAGCTGAGAAGGCCTTGTAGTTTTAGCCGAGGGCTCCTGTAGAAGGTCTGTCTCTCCTAGACTAGAACCGGACTCTGTCTCTGGTATTGCTGAAGACGACAGTCGTTGTAAGTTGGAATTGCTTTCCTCCTCGGATGGTTGTGGTTCTACGACAGAAAAAAATGAAGACTGTTCTGCTAGAAGAGATGAAGAGGCACTAGACGCCAGCGAACTGCCAGAATCGTGTAACAGGGAACGGGGGTCCTTCAACTGCGGCAAATTGTTATGCTGGTTATAGCGAGGAAGAGGCCGAGGGTCAGGATCTCGTCTAGGTTCGTGGCTCATAGTTTTAAAGCTCAGCACTCAGTGGCCACTGACTCTGGACGAAAGAGGCCCCCTTCATCAAAGCTCTCCCCTTTCCCTTCGTTTTCCCCTGTTCTACTCTCCAGGGAAGGTCGCCTCTTCGATCTTAGTGTTGACTCCAATCTAAATGGTGACCATTGAAAGTTGAGCCTTAATAGTTGTAGTAGTCTCCTTGTTGTTTTCCACCTGTGGTTCTTGCGCTCTGTGGGTAGTTTCCACCTGCGGTTTTTGATCTCCACTATCATCTTGTCCTTGATGATTTTCCCTTTCTTGGTCCTCTGCGTCTCTTGCTTGCTGCACAGCATCATCTTCTTGTGGCCATTGAATAGCTAGCTGTCCTATTATCGTGTGAAGTTCCAGCCCAATGTCATCCAGGAGCAGCATTAAGGTCGTTTTTCGCGCCAAGCATCGCGCGACGTGGGCACTAGCTTCTCGGAGTATCATCATACTCATAGAGACCGACTGCCGTATCCGGAGAGGCAGAGGGGCGCTGCTCTCTAGCAGGTTTAGACCTCTACTAGAAAGAGGAACAGGGAGTAGAGGTCCGGAGCTTACGGTCTCCGAGCAACTCCCTTCCCCCGAAAGGGGCCCACTTGAGGAGGAGCCAGGAAGCCGATCTTCGATGAATGGCGCCACTGATTGAGACTTTCGAGGACATCAAGGGAATGTCGTCGCCAGAAGTAGATGTTTCTCGCCCTTGGCGGCGACACATCTACTTGCCTTCGTTCTCAAATCTCAATCAGTGCAACCATGCGTAGATTTCAGTTGATCTCCTCCAGTGTTCGTTCTAGACTGCTGATCTTCTCCAGTTGTGAGGCTCCGTAGTATTTCATGTTGCCGAGACTCCATAATGGCGCAAAACTGCAGGAGCTGTCCTCCAAAACTAGTTTTTGAAGCAACCTCATTTCGGCGTTTCCATGCTGCAATCACGTCATTGGGATTGCGGAAACTAGCAGCAATGGATCGAGGACCGTACAACTTCGCGGAAGCAGGCAGAGACCACATATTCTTTTCAGTCGATGGGCTCTCCGTTCTACTTGAGTCTCTACTTGCGTCAGACGGCATGGAGGTAGTTTCATCGTCTCCGTTCATCCCAACTTTTTCGTCTCCTACTGCGTGTCCGAATGTTGAGGCACTACTCAACTGTTCAACCCGCGTCCGAAAAGGAACACCTGCAACAAGTGGAGGGAAGTCTGAGGCAGCGGCCTTAGTTTCTGGATTGATCAATACCAGCTGGCTCTTGAGTCGCATCACGTCAGCAGAGAAAAAGCTTAAAGATTGTTTGTTTCCCGTTTGTTTTTATGCTTGTCCCGTCCCTTAGGAGGGAGAGAGGCAAAAGCAAAACAAACAGCAACAGGAACACCCTTAGCCTGCCCATAAAAAATTCTCGACGACTGCAACAGAGCCCGTCTTCTTGTCAATGGCGTTCAGTGTCCGTTGCATCAGACATCGCCTAGAAGATGCAGTGGACGTCGCTGCTGCTGTCTCGGATACCGATACCTTGTCAGCTGCCCTTGATTTTAGAGCTCGGTCACTGAACTTGTTCTTCAGTGCCTACTTTGATTCACATCTCTCTGATAGTAGTAGGACCCCTCATCTCAGGACCCCTTATCTCAATTTAGTATCACTTTCCTTATCATACATTATCTAGTTACTAGCCCGAAAAAAAAAGGTATCAAGACGAAGGTTCTACTGTGAGTTCGAGAATACAGTCTTACTCCTCAAATGATGGATCTTCAAAAGCACTTTCTGTCCGTAACATCTGTTGCACCTTCGCCAGATGCAACTCAGCGATCTGCAGCATGTTGAAATCGAACGCACTCAAGCGTACCGCTTGTCTCTCTCGCCGCATCACCTGCACCGTGTTGCACCGAAGAGCTCTGGCTTGTTCATCCAGTGACTCCTGGAAGCGGTCCGCTGATGAATAGTTGTTAGAGGGGCTTGGGACACTCACTCCATGGACTCATGCGAAACTAGCAGGGTCTTTTGCAGAAGCTAGCCCTGTGCAGAAGCTAGTCCTGAGGGTAGGTAAAAAACAACGGCCAGAGGGCCAAAAGTGACCAACTAGCTGACTCGCTGAGACTGACGTAAGGGGGGCCCAGAGCTACTAGCACAAAATGATCGACTCGACAATCGTCCTTGTAATGATTTGACCTTTAGCTTTTTCTGATTGGCATAAAAATAGTGGGGGTGGAAAATGCCTTTTCACTAGTACCCACGTGTGAGCTGAACGGGGCAGGTGAACTAGGACCACTTCTGCTAGTTGTACTCAGCCAACCTCCCGCGGCCAACTCTTCATCTTGGTAGTAGCCAAAGTCTGTTGGCTTGAAATTCCAACCCTTTTCGGTTCCTTGTCGAGTGGATTGAGGTTGTGGCCCTCCTGCAACTTGGCTACCAGATGAAGAGGTAGCTGAGCTGGTAGCGGTTACACTTCCTGGACGAGGACCCCGATCGAAATTGACCGAATCCTTCAATTCTTGCTGCAGGGTTTCGCCCAGCATCTCGCTCAGCAAATTCTCCATCAAATTCATGTGCTCGGATTTTTGGGGAGGACATGAAGGAGCGTTCTTTGGAGCTGTTGGCGAGCCACGTGCTTTCCTGTTTTTCGGCGAGGCGTTACTTGGCGCAAGGAGTGGCGATTGCACAGACATCATCGGGGAGTCAACTACTTGTGTTGGACTTGCAGTTTTAGAAGGAGCTTTGACACTTAAACTTAAAATAGCTACTTGAGGTTTAGGTTTACTAGGTTCAGTTTTTAATGACCTCTGTTCGTTGTTACTCGTTATTGTTGTAGTTGTTCCACCAAAGCAAGCTGTCGTCGGCGTAGGTGGTGAATTGCCAGCGCCTCCAGTCGAAGTCGATTGCTTCCTGACCCCCGACGAAGCTGCACGGGCTTAGAGCTCAAAGCAATTCTCATTTCTTCCCTACATTTCTCCCCATCCCCATGATCCTCTAAGGAGAAAACTACAGAGAAAAATGGGTCAGAGTCGTCGAAATGATATATATTCAAGTATATTGTTGAGCCTTACCTACAACTAGCGCTCTGTCTCCGTGTACTATTTGCGATCAAGTCTTTCTCTACTTGCTCTAGGGTTTGAAGATCATCGGGATTCTTTGCCAGGCCTTTGAGTCCATCGGTAGGAGAAGCTGTGGAAGTAGGAGGACGACAAGGAACGCAGCTGTTAACACTTTCAGTCGCCGTCATTCTAGAAGGACCAGCAGGAGTAGTGGCACAACTGGAAGTAGATGATGAGTCTCTTGATGCTGCGTCAGCTGTATAGGTAGTTATTTTGGTTCCCGAACTACTACTTCCAGTAACTACACCTGGTGTGCTAGGTACTCCTCCGGCGGGTGCTGCACTAGTTCTGGTGCAGGCACTGGTAACTGGTGCAGGCACTGGGGTGGGCGCAGTCTTCCGTAAAGTCATAGGCGGCGCAGTCGTCACCCCAACAGAAGTTGAAACTGTCCTAGAGGAAGAGGGTGTTGGAGGAGCAAATGGAACAAAATCGCCGAGCACGAGCGTAACGACGCGACCGAGCGTCGCGAAGAGCGTCAAGGCTCCAGGTTGTCCGCTCTCAGCTCTGATGGTGATCCGAGGACCTTCACCTTGGTGGCCTTCTTCGTCTTGACCTTGATGACCTTGAGCACGACCTTGAGAAGTCCCCCCCTCGTTCAGCTTAGCCGCATCAGCATCTCGTCGATGTAGTTCATCCTGTTGTGTCGACGAAGAAGCTTTCTTCACTTTCTTCATACTCTTTGATGAACGATCTTTCTCTGTTCCCCTTTGAGCTTCATTTTCATCTTCATGAGGAGCTTGCCCTTGTCCTTGCGATACTTGTCCTATCATGTTTTCTGCAGGTGAAGACGCAGTGGCCGCCGAAACTTTTACCCGTCTCCCAATGTCGAAGTGTATGTTGTCAAACGGGTCCCAAAACTCTTCTGTTTGTCCATTGAAAATCGACGTTATCCTCCGGAATAAGGCGCGCCGTGCTGTTTTTAGTGCTGGCCCGAAATTCTTGTTTTTAAAAACCCTGCTGGAGCTTGGCCGCTGTTGTTTGTTTCCCTTGAAAAGTAGTAACCATTCTACCCAGGATACATACATACGGCATCTTCACAGAACCACAACGAAGGTTCACGGTTAGGATCAGGGAAAGCCTTAATGTTTGGACTACGCGTTGATGGTCGCCTATCAGAATTTCGTCAGTGCGTGTGGTTAGCATCTCAGTGACCATCTGAATCGCGCGATTCCTCAGCATGGTGTGCTGCGAATCTTCAGATAGATAAGAGAAGCACTGCGATGCTAAATCCAGATCGTCCTGGCCGTCCATGGTGCCACAACCCTCTTGATGATTCGTATTTCCTCTAGATCTAGACGGCATTTGGTCTAGAATTCTTGATGACGTGCCTCCTCTCCAAGCGATCGGCAGAAGAAGCTATTAGCGCTCACCCTAACTACCCATCCTCACCCTAACTACCCATCGTCCTCTTGAAGAGAAAGCTGCAGGTAGATGTTGAGATCAGGAACGAAGAACTACAGGCCTAACTACTGCGCTGCAAAATGTATGAGTACAATTTTTCTATTACTCCTGCGTGCATCTTCAACAACCTGCCTCTAGTACCGGGTCAATGCCTCGTCGACTGGAGATGGATTAGGTAGTTTAGGGGAAGCCTTAGATCTCGTTTAGTACTCCGTTAGCAACCTCCTTGTGCGTTTTGCTTCCTCGAACGCGAAAGCTGCCGCCCATCACTGTCGCCGTGGAGGAGTTCAGCGAAGGATGCACTCGCTCGCAGGCGAGAGAAGCCTTTTCTGCTGTTGTTCCTCTTTGAGGAATATCTCCCGGATTAGAAGTTGCCACAGACCTCCGCATCATCCTTCGGATGAGTCAACATATGAGTCTGCGCAGAATGCAACTAGGTGAAGGAAACAACTGACACAACCATGTGACGATGTGAATTATTATGACCAACATTGCGACACTTAACATGGTTAACTGCAGTGGAGGTCTGAGAAGCACCTTGATGACCTGCTTCTGGACCTTGATGATCTTCTTTTGCTTTCATCCCCTTCAACTCCTGTCTCGCTGCGTTCTTTTCCTCGTCCACAATGGTGGCTGCGAGAGGATAGGATACGGGGCTCAGAATAGTATCGATTAGAAGACCTTTCTATTCTTAGTATCTATAAATGTAATCTGGTGGAAGTAGACGAAAGGCATGAGCATCGTTGACGATTTTTCCCGTTGCAAGGCCGTCAAAGTCAAAGATCGATGCCTCTTCAGCTGATTTATTAATGTAAGCCTTAAATCGAAGAGGAACCCAGGGTAGTCACCACGTTCACCCGCAATGAGTCCGAGAAACTTACTAGCTGCAGCAGTGACAGCAGCACTACTGGCAGTTTGCGTTGACGTCGGAGCAGTAGCGGATGAAGGAAATCCAGAACCTCCACTATTAGAGATGGAGATCATCGTAGTTTAACCTATTTAAGTGTATATCAGTATGTATAGGCACTAATGGTAGGTAGGTACTTTATCTTCAGTTGTGGCGGTGGATTCTGCGTGAATATAAATCCCAGATGCAGAGTGAAAAGGAGGTGAACAGTAGGCAAGAGAGGAAATCTAAAAAATGTAAATAATCTAAATCCCATGCCCACTTCACTCGGAGAGGGCAGTAAGTAAAAAGAGAAACCTAAATAATCTAAAAAATTCCACCCTGCGACGGAACAGAAAACACAAGAACAAATCCAAACAATCAGCTAAAAAATCTCAATAGTCTTCTAAATACTCCAACAGACAACTGCTGCCGTTAACACTAGCCATATCCGTTTCCTCTCCCGACGACGATACTTGACGTGACGCCAGATGCGGTTGCTGCCATTCACGTCTGGATGTAGCATCGACGTAGAATATACGTCGTAATTCCAATTTCCCTCGTAATCTCTCCTGCATAGCCCCCGACCAATGTTTATACTCTGGAAACAGCGTGTCAAGTTAGCGGTTGCAAGTTGACATATCTCATCTAGAAGTAGGCTTTAGGGTTACAGCTTTTTGCTCCTCTTCAATCATGAGGTCGCAAAGGAGTTCGCTTGCAGCTAAAGCTATTCCCATCATATATAAAAATATGACAGGCTAAGCCTACTTGATGACGAAGCCGGGTAGTCAAGAACTACTTTATGGTGCGTGGCTTCTTCAAGTAGAAATAAAGTCATAAAGTCATAAATGAATATGCGAACTTCTAGATCGGTCAACTTACATCCCTTAATCAAAACGTGTCTGCAGAAAGTGCGTTCCACCTGTTCCGTCACTGTTTGCATCATCAGTTTCTTGATCTTCTTCACCTGCTTCTCCAAAAATATTCAGCTTTGCTTTTAGCAGAGATGCTAGTCCGTCATCATCTTCGCTGTTTCTGGGAGCCTTGGTGGTCTTGGCTGCTCCTCGTGTCGCCTTCGCCTCTTTGGTACTAGGGGTTGTGATTTAGAATAGAGGAAGAGAAGATGCAGACGCTCATAATATCGTCTACCCAGAAATTCTACAAGAATCTTCTACCATTCTACTATAGTAGTACATGTTGAAGCAACGCGGTGCATGAGCATGCTATTCTAGTACTGTGAGAGAACTTTTACTTATTATGACGGAAACTCTTATTTTAGAAACACAGACTGGTGAACGTGAAAGAAAACTCTTATTAATTTTAGAACCACCGACTGGTGAACGTGAAACAATGATCACATAACATTGATTTCACCCTTAAAAACCATCCTCCATTTTTTCCTGTGCGATTTGAGCTTCCTCTAGAAACAGTCGCAAATATTGCGTCCAGTCGTTGGTGAAAAGGACTTCGTCTGGCAAAATCTCGAGGACGCCTTGCCACTTTGCTACGTCAACAGCTATTTCTGCGTGATGAGGATCATTCGTGCGCCAATTATGAAGAGGAGCAGATCTGTTGTTGTCATTATCTACTTCATACTTTCCTAGTACTTCAGAAGAAACTTGATAATGATAACAGATTTTCGCTTCATACCAATTCTTACTCTTGGCAGGAAAACGCTCTAGTTGTTCCTCTTCAAAGGAAGACTCTAGCAGAGCTCTTGCATGTGTCTGTGTGGTTGTAGGATCATGATTAGGACCACTCCCTTCCGTTTTTTTTTGCTTGAAGGGACTACTGGTTCTAGAAGTAGTGGTCGTTGTAGAAGCCTCAGTAACTACGTCGGCAACATGATCCTCAGTATTTTCCCAAGTCCAACCTATACTTGTCTGTGGAACCCGGTTCCAGCCAAGTCTTCGATCGTAGTAGTCGCTTTTCGTCCGTTTTTCTATCCATGTTCGCAAAACCGAAAGTTCTTCATCTGTCGTCACTTTCTTTAAGAAAAATTCCATACGATACTTTAACTCCTCAATGAAATTGCGAACCCGTTTGATTACCCGTTCCAGATGCAGAACGGCTTCGAAGAGAGCATCAAACTTTTCATGTGTCTGTGTTTCCGCCTGTCCGGCTTCCGTCAGCAACCCTAGGACGCTTGCATCACTGTCAACAAACGACATCAGTGCTCTCATCACGTTTTTCTTGTGTTCTTCTAGTTGATCTAGCCATGCGATCTCCCTTTTTTAGAGCTCGCCCTAATATCCCTCTCGCAAGGCTGCATCCTGTGGGGGCTTTTTCCCCTTGAAAAGCCCCTTGTAGATCGATGCTTCCGAAGATGGATCTTCAGGGGCGGAAGCCTTAACTTTTACGTCTGTAAACGAGGGCTTTTCGTACAATCGTGAGTCGCTTCGTTGATGTTGGAGGTGGAGAAGGCGAAGGAGATGGAGCCGATGATGGTTGTTTGTGATGTCCTGGAGGAGGCACTGGCATCGAGTACGGATTCGGCATCCCTCTTGGCGGAGGCTTTGCCTTTAGGCTTTGGCTCTTCTTGGCGCTACCTTCTACAGCTGCAGGAGTCTTGCACTTCGTCTTGGCAGGGGTTTCCACAACATCTTCTTCCAGTGCCACAGCATCCACCGATGCCGCAACTGCAGCCGATGCTGGACCCTTTTTCTTCTTCTTCTTTTTTTAGAGGTGTCGGGAATTCATCTCAGGGATCATTCATCTGGGTCCCTTTTTTCTCTTGACTTCTTCTTCCAGATGAGTCTGGAGATGAATTCCCTACACCCATAATTCTTGTTCTCGTGTCTACCTCCACTTCCCATACCAGATGGATTTTCTTGCCTCACATCCTCTTGAAGACTTGGTGAAGGCTCCTCTTGCATGTTCGCAACCACATCCATCTCCTCTGGGTCGAGTTCGGGGGGAGGAGGAGCTTCAATATAATCCATCAGCTTCTCTAGTAGAAGAGCATCAGTTTTGGCATCATGATCGTCCTCATCCATTTGCGTCTCTCCACCCAAAGCTCCTTCGATAGTACGAGGCGCCTCAGGAGCCATAGACAGACTTAAGTCTGATGTAGTTGTTGTACAATTATCTCCCGAGTGCTGGTCGACGGGAATTGGCATGGAGCTATCTATTTCCATGGGCGTACCCTCTACCGCAACGCTCTGGAGGTCGACTACAGAGGTGCTTTCAGCCTCAGGTAAGCGTAAGGTGTCTCCTAGTCCGTCTCCAACTTGGTCTTGTTCTTGCAATAAAACCGCTTCTATTATTTCTTGCGTTGAAGATGTTGCCTCCGTGGTCGCCGCGGCCTTCAGTGAAGATGGTCCCTCTGATGTCGTCGTCTCCTTAGATGAAGCAGGTGTCTCAACACTTGATAACGACCCTTGTATAATTGCACCAGGAACTTGCGCTGCCTGCCTCTTCAGCCGCATCTCCATTCGTTTCATCAGCTTATCTTCACCGCGGGCCTTATGTCCTCTCCCCTTCGCGGGAGGTGGAGATCTATCCTTAGAGGTAGGAACTTGGTGTCCGAGTATCCCGCTTGTTATGGCTGTCCCCACCTAAGGGAGAGAGCCATAACAAACGATAACAAAAGCACCTTTAGCCTACCCTTAATATCCCTGCTGTTGTCGTCTGAGGTAATCACTGCACCACCTGCTGCACCGCCAACAGTGAATGCAGTAACAACTGTAGTAGGGGCTGTGGAAGCTGCTTGATCGTCAGGAGGCCTATGTGCTAATGCTGTGACTTCGAAGCCGCCTCGTTGTACTTGGACCTCATGATCCTCATCCTCTTGCCCTGTTTCCGCCGTTGTCGCGAGGACTGTTAGAGATGAAGATAAATGTTAGATGACATAAAGATGATGAACAATCTAGATCTATATACTTGTTTACATTCATCTGGCTAAGACTATATAAATTGCTTATACTTATGACCACGTTGACAAACAAGAAAACGCGCCTTAACAATTCATCATGCAAGTCATCCCCACGTCGTTGGCCTTGGCGCGTCGTCGAAATCCCTGAAGGTAGAAATGATAGTTTCTGCAGTTTTTCCGCCTTTTTCTCCCTCTTCTGGTCCTTGATTCTTTGCAGCCGCTCTTTCTCCTTCTCCTTTTTCTTATTACGATTAGAGCGCAAAAAAATAGCAAGGTGCCACTTCTGCCCTTCATTTCCTCGGAGTCCTAAGAAGAAAACAAACGGAACGAAATGCTACGTGGAAATGAATCGATTATCGTGAGCCTTAATATGACCTCTTGCTGCCGAAAAAGCCTGGAGAGAGTTTTGTGCAATCACTTCAGGCGTCGATTTTGATCCAAGGATTTCCAATGGAGAAACCTCAACGGAGCCTCCCGCTAGTGGAGTACCACGCGAGCTGGATGTTGACCTGGATGTTTTAAAATTGGTGAGGGTGCAGCTGATAGATGAACCTAAATCCCTAGGTAAGTAAGTAAGTAAGTAAGTAAGTAAGTAAGTACGTAAGTAGAGAGTGAGAGAACTCTGACAAATCCACATCCCTGTCATTGGAGGGAGCGGCAAGTGACAACAGAAGAAGTCTAAATGATCTAAATTCCACTTCCCTCAGAGGGAACCCAGATGTAGAAAGGGAAGGAAGACCACTAGGTCTAAACTAAGAGCGGAAATCTAAAAAATCTAAAGAATCCAAATTCCACTCACAGTCAAAGAAATACCTAGTTGTGCTGTCTTCAACAGCGTGTTGGATTTGGAAACTTGGCATTTCCGTATCCCCATCAGGCGAGCCTGACGCCTGCGTACCAGGTGATGTGGTAGCATCGCCATCTGACGCACAGGGGTTGGAAAGAAAGCTTCCAGATCCTTTCCACCGAGACCAACAGTCACGCTTAGAGCAAGGCTTTTCCTTTTGCTCAGCGTTTGAAAGAAAACTCCCAGCTTCTTGTTTTTGGCGCTGCAACTGACCGCTATGCACTCGAGCTTGTTCTTCTTCATTTTTAGTAGTGGTACTAGAGGTCGTGCTAAATGCTTTAGAAGTAGAAGACGCTTTTTCTTGCCTACTCCAAGGACAATGACGAAAATCTTCGTGAAAACGAGCTGCATAGTTACTGTCCTGTTCTTCCATATCTGCCCACAAGCAGCGACGAGCAGAAGTCTTCTGGTTGCCGTCGAGTAACTTTCGATCCTCTTCTTCCTGTTCCTCCACATCTCCTTCTTGTTGTTCTACTCTTACGTTACGGCCTCCGCTACAGCCTCCGGTACTGATTTTTTCATCATGATCCTGTTCTGTTGATGACCCGACAACAGTACTACTAGTACTACTACGAGCTTTCCTCTTCTTTTTCTCGTGCTGTTCCTCTGCAGTTGTCTGTTCACACTTTTGCAGCGTCCCCTGCGTCCTCATCCTGCGCTCCTGATAGTGCTGCCTACAAGCACCTCTCTCCCAGCTAGAACAAGTAGATGCGCTTCTAAATCCTGCCAAAATTCCAGCTGTTGGCGTTACGGTGTCGAGCTCAGCTTCTTTATGTTTCTCAAGCTCAACCTCTGAAATGCACGATATGGACTCTGCATCGTCGTCAGCATGATGATTCACCGCGAGCACCCCATTCTCCCACATACTAGGGTCACACTCACTAGCCTCATAGTCGTCCCGTAGATTTTGGAAGTTGCTAGTGGTCTGCGTCTGGAGATGACACCAGCACTGCTTATCCACCAGCACCGGTTTTTGGGTACTAGTATTATGAGTATTCGTACTCGACAACACGACAACATGTTGAGGCAAGAAATGATGCAATTGAGTCACAGGCGGAAGTTGCATGCTGCTACTTGTGCTCTCTTGTAACATCAAGTTGGCAGGAGCTGGCTGCATACCGCTTCTGCTCTCGTCTTGCGACACCATGAAGCTGGGCATAGAAGATGTTGATGGCTCCTGCGATACCAAGTTCTTAGGCATCGGAGTCGATGCCACCAAGTTGGGCATCACTACAGTCAATGCTAATAGAGGGGATGAATAAAACAGGTTCTGTGCCGCTTCTGGCGTCTGTGCCGCTTCTGGCGGCAGAGCATCATCAAGAGAGATAGGAGTTGCACGGACGTTGCTAGCACCAGCTGGTGTTCTTGAGCTAGAGGAAGGAGTAGAACCAGAAGTTTGCTGCGGCAGAGCAAAAGCAGCATGCTCTTGAGATGTAGGTGAATGAGGATTTTTATCTTCAGTTGTCGAACGAGTTGCAAATGAGTGTGAAATGAGTCGTTCTTGCGTCGAGGAAATCGATTGTGGTCGTCCCCCTAGTCGTGGTGGACTCCGTTCTTGTTGTTGTTGTTGTTGTTGTTGACTACTGCTCAACAATCGCTGATGCACCTCAGACACAGCTACAGGAGGCACAACAGACTGGTCAACAAGTCCATGCTGCCTTCTAGCTGTCAGTATCGCAGCTGCTCGACGGTCATACATCTGCAATGAGCTGTTGGTGACTTTGCCTGAAGCAACACCGTCAAACTCAGGTCTAAACTCTGGATCCGGTGGTGGTGCAGCGTCAAATGCTGCGAAAGCTGGCGCATTTTCGTTGAGGAGAGGTCGGGATTCACTTGGTGTGGCAGCCGGAAAAGGGACACATCCATCTGTCGCTGTCCTCACCTCAAAAGTACTGTTGGACAAGTTAGAAGAGCCAAACGTGAGAGAAATACCAGAGAAACTAAAGAGATAGAGGAGAAGAGAAAACTCATTGGGAGACGGGAGACGTAGAGGACGAGAAGAGAAAACTAATTGGGAGACGAGAGACGAGGCAGAGGAGAGTAAATATGCTTAGCTGTTGCCTATATGATGAGGATGAGTGCTTCGTCGAAAGCACAGCTTCGTGAGGAGATCTAAATGAAAGAATCTGGCGCCCATAATCAAGGGGTCCTCACTAAGGGAGGCTCTGCTAGCTCGATCTCTTAGCCCATTATTTTGAAAAGCGCCGTTCCAGGAAGCATAACCGGCACCATTCCATGACGCAAGAGCAAAAGAGTATGCGTATGTCGGGACCAGCACAAAGGAGGACGTCAACGCCTTTGGGCAGAACATCCTCATGGCTCTTGTGGAGGTAGAGCAGGTGGTGGTCGTTATATGACAACACGTTTCATTACACATTCATGTTCTCATGAACACGATGGTGTCTGACAATTAGAACAATTAGTGATGGTGTTTTTTAACAGTAGCATTTTTAGAATGGAGGTTCACAATCAATCAGACAAACAGGGATAGCATAGTATAATGGACAGCATGAAAGGGCTATTCTTTTATCAGACGCGGAGACATAGATATGTTTTACGCGGCATACGTAAATGTATTTTTGCAGTCATAGTTGCTTCAACAGAACATCAAAATTCCGAAAGTCTTTCGGTCGTATTGCGTATGACTATGAACTACACACTGCCATGGAAATACCATGAAGCCCTACTTTTTGATTAAGGTTTCTGATGTTTTCGTAAAAACGTTCACGATGATCGCCACGGGATCAATCGTCTCATGATGCCTGCTTCATGTCATAGATCGCGATCTACATGTCATAGATCGCGAGCCTCTCTTACTCTCCACAGAGTGCTGTTCTCTTTCTCTCTTCGAGAACAGATGTGGGCCACCGGTTTCACTATACAGACTGACTGTTTTTCTGTTTTTAGCTTTCTCTCAAATTGGTTCATTCAGGGCTTACATCTCGTCACACATGAGTCTGACTTCTCCATGTTTGCGCATCCACACCCAGCTTGATCTTGCGAGCTAGATCAGTTTGTTCCCAAACATTAATTTGCCAAGAAGTCTTCAAGAATATCAATCTTTCTCCCTCCCACGCACAAGAATGTTTTCACCCATCTGCAGCTCGTGTCCAATGAAAAGAGATTCAACACAGTTTCAGCCAGTCAGACAACAAATCATAGGTTCATCTTCTTCATAATGAGCGATCCAGTGGTCATAAGAAAAGCAAAGAATTGGAGTTGTCATCTTCTTCATCAACAGAGTCAACAACTACTACAGCGCGAGAACATAATCATAAGTATCTACAAGTTACCCGAAAAATTACCTATCGAACAGAAACAACCTATTATAAGTAAATTCACAAGAACAGCAGAAAACAAGATGATGTCTTCTACTTCCCAACCGGCCAGAGCAGCTGTTGCACCAGCGGAATGACCTTTAGGTGCGAAACATCTGCAAAAAGCACTTCCAAGTCCTCCAAATTTTTCGCGTTGACCACCAGCTTCTCCTTGTGGGCGAAGATGGCAGCTGCAAAAACCGCCACAATTTCGGTCGAGTCGTAGCCAAGTATACGGTCCCACAGGAGCAAAAGTTCATCGGTCTGGAGGTGCCTGAGAGTGACGAGGTTGTCGAGGAATTGATAGAATCAGATCTTGTCGTTGATGAGTCAGTTGTTACATCAAAAATTAGGAGTAGCCTCTGCCTACTCAATGGTCGTGTACAGCAAGCATGTAGATTCCAAATTCTCACAAAGTATTTGTAAGCGATCGATGTGACAAACGTATTCTTCTTGAAGGCTGACAATATTGTGTGGCAGGTTCTGCAAAAACATAAAAAGCAACAAAAAGGACTACTTATAGACATAGTAAGTTCAACTTCAAGTCGTCCTAAAAAGTACGCATAGAAGTGAGAGTATGTATAAGCACCCAGCAAATCCACTAACAATCCACGGGAAAGCGATTTTTAGTGCCAAAGGCTCAGTGGGGCTCATTTCCATCAGGTTGTGTGCAGCTTTGGGACAATGCAAGGCGAAGAGGCTCTCGAACAGACTGCAGAGTGATACTAGGCTGCCCTGTTCCATGCTGATGGAGTGCAGCTTGCAAAAAAAGCGGCAGGGAAGATGAAGGAGGAAGGGCACGCAAAGGAAAGTCTATCGGGAATAAAGATCAAAATCTTTAATTGTGAAGTTGGCCACATGTCAAGGAGGGTCGTCGGAAAGAAGATATAGCTACAACTCCTGCTCTTACAACACGCGCTTGTTCTTACACTCATCACTAAATCTGAATGATCTAAATCAAAGTTGTTTTCTAAATGTTCTAAATCAACAACCTAACTTCTTCTTGAATCTGAAAGATGAAACCTCCATAATAGAAAGCCCTGTAAAGCGGATATGCGTCTTCAAGCTTTACTGCCAGGTAGCAGAATGGTCCAGCATACGCGGTCCACCCTTGAAACGGCACAATACCACATGGAGGTATGTAAGTCGACGCATCATTATGAACGTCCGCATAATTCCAGTTGGTACAACTTCTAGCGAAGCACAACTCAGAATGTTGACAGACGAGTTATTTCTTGCGCATCGATTGTGGAAGAAAATTTATGAAATGTAGTTGTTGAGCACTATTTTTACTATTTCATTCAGTTTGTTGAGTGAGTTAGACTTTCCTCTCGTCCATAACCATCAACGTGAGCCGTCTCTATTGGTATTTGAGGAGACAGGGCGCAGTCCTTGAACAACTCGGTGTCGCGACTAAGCATTAAAACCAGAGACTCGGTCAACTCGTCGAATGGGAAGTAGTGCGTGTCGCTTCCCGCGTGTTCTGGGGTTAGAAGTTTCCACGTTGAAGACGACATTTCAAAATCTCATGCTGTATCGAACTTCGTCTTCGTGTACTTGACCAACATAGGCCGCTTTCTTGTCGTGTTATGTGCAAATACTACAATGAGACACAGATATAATCTCTTTTAGATAGTTAGTAGTTCCCGAGAATCCTTGAAGATACTTACCAGTGCAAGTCCATGCCATCTGTTGAAGTTGAATGTACCACATCAACACTGAAAACGCAGGAATTTGTCATGTGTGTATCCCTGTCGCCGTTTAAAAGAACCACCTAAGAGTTTTTTTGCGCTAGAACCATATGCCACCGCCCTTTGAAACAATTAATTAACTTGTTCAACTATAAAGTCATCCAAATTACAACATACTGGGGGCAGGGCTAAGAGACATTATCACATCATAGAAGTTGTGCTTGTGGAATGCACCAGTCTCACAGACCATAAAGACAAATCCTGTCTGAGAATCTCATCAGTAATCCACTCTGTCTGCCGAACTAGAGCTACACCGACGTTTTTCACCCAGTTGCGTTGTCGTTCGAACGTTGCTGTCGAGAGCTTTTTCTGAGGTTGCTGCTGCTGTTGTTCTGCTCCACAGCTTCTATTCGTGGTGTCGTCCTTTCCTTGTTTTAGTATTAGAGCAGGACGTTGTCGTTCACTTTGGCGGGATAGTTGGAACATCACATATTTGTTGCGAGTCGAAGATAATGTTTCGATGTAAGTCTTTAGTTTCACAAATTTTGAAGTAAAGGGGAGCTAGAACTACACCAGTACCAAGCTTTTAAACAACTGATGTCCGTCATAACTCCCCAACAGAGGAAGCATCCGCAGAAGTGGGCTCGAGAGGTATCCCGGCAGTTCCTCCAGACAGCAGAGCCGCTCTCCATATATCTTTTCGCAGACTACAGGGTACGCCACGTCGACAAAACTGCAATACCAGTGGCGCGTAGGGTTCCCCGTAACCGTCGCAGAGGTTATCCGCTTCTTTCTCCCTCTTTCCCCGACACTCTTCACTCCTTTCGTCGCACATGCCGCCAGGGCCTATGGCGCTGGTCCCACTGAGTACTTCGTCCACAAAGTACCTCTCCTTCGTACTCACATCATCTGCTCCCCTGTATTAGAAGCAAAAATAGCTCATTTTCTACCCACATACAACTCGTACTCTCTCAATGATTCTAATGCAATGATTCTAATGCGACATGGTCATACTCGATGACTCTAATGCGGAAGATTCTACCGACATACAACTCATGCTCTCAGATTCTAAAGAATGCAGAATATTCTACCGACATACAACTCATGCTCTCAGATTCTAAAGAATGCAGAAGATTCTACCGACTGACATACAAATACAACTCATATTAGAGCTCAAAACAATTCATTTCTTGCCTACATTTCTCCCAATCCTAAGAAGGAAATAGGGAGAAATGACTTGTAGAAACGAAATATATTGAGCCTTAATCATACTCTCACATACTCAGATCCTTGAGCCTCTCTCCGATTCTAATGCCTTAAATGTTGACATGCTTTCTTTTAGCGCCACATAAGTCCGGATTCAGTTCGCGCATCTTCCTTCGTAGTTCGCCAAAAGATGGAACATAAACCTGCGCTGGCATGTGAATCCAATGTAAGTCCGTTTGCGGTCCGCGGCTCACTAGTAGTCGGTAGACTTAGAGGACATTGACCGGATCGATTTTCTTGATAATTATTATCTCTTATTGGAAGAGGAAGTCATCACCTCTGGCGTGCTTTTCCGCCCTTGAAAACGTTTTGAAGAATCTGTGAGGACTTTTGAGATGAATTACTGTTACGGCAAGCCTTAATAAAGGTCACGGATCTCGACTAAAGGTCTGGCTCCTTTACCACTCTCTTGTTCTGCGAAGAGATTGGGAATCGTTTGATGCTTGAGAAACGGGTGCAACGACTCGATTTCCTCCTTTCTGCTCTGCACAGCCTGTGCATCGCGCGCGTGTATTAGAGAAAAAGAGTGTCTACTTGAGATTTTGTTTTTTGTACTTATCCTATCATTTTTATCTTGCATTGATCTAATCAAATTTTCCTCTTGTTGTAGGTACTACTTATCTATTGCAGCTTAGGTGAACCACAACCAGAACGACATGGAGGAACAAAGAAGATGACTTGGTGAACCACAACCAGAACGAAATGGAGGAACAAAGAAGATGACTTCTACTTCATATCCACATCACAAAAATGCTATTTTCAGGTGCCATAAAAATGGCTGTCGTTGCTCAGCAGCATAGCGTTTCAATTCGCGCAATAGCAGATCGCTCCAGTTCTGAAAAAGCACCTCTAGAACGTTCAAGCTCGATGGATGCGCGGTTGCTGGGCAATATGAAAGAGACACCGAGACAACATGCAACGGAAGCTACAGCGATTATCTACCTACTACACTACTACTTAGTACGTTTGCCTACTACTCTGCCTACTACTCTAAATGTCCTCTACTACTTACGTGTTCGTGTAATGAGCATCTACTGCAAATAACTAGACAAAGAAGTTGTAATAGGAGAAAGACATCATTTTTCCATAACAATGGCGGCAAGGGGTATTCTGGACAGAGGACATGCCGGAACTGGTTCTCCGAAGCGGCCGTGTCCTTTACTCGCGCACAGGTGTAGTTCCGCAGTTGGTGTGTGCAGCCACTGAGAAACAGTATCTCTCTGACCGCCTTTTCGAATTGCAAAGCTGAGGCCGTTGGAAGCTCTGTTATAGCTATAAAGATGAAAGACTTGTTCTTCTGGATGGTGGAAGCTATATTCTGATAGCTTATAGCTGTAAACGTGAAGATGAAGGACTTCGTCTGGGCGGTGGAGGTGGAAGCTATGTTATTGTAATACCAATAGCTCTAGTAGACGTAGAGGTCATGACTCGTTTTTGTTGCCAGAAACAATGCCGTCCAAGTTACGTCTTTCTTAACCATAATGCTGTCTAGCATCATTAGATGTAGTTAACGTTAAGTGATCCGTGAGGACGACTGGTTCTTGATTCAAGGTAGTGTTAGTGCAAGGACTTGATTTATTGCCTTCAAGTTAGTATGTTAATACTTCTATCTACGTGTGAAATAGTCTGAACCATAACCCACTGGTTCCCTCTTGAGCCGTCCCCAGCAGTTGCTGGCGAACGGCTCTACGCGATATCCAAAAGGCCTCGTCATGCCGCAAAGAATCGCAGACGTTTTTCACGTCTCGCTCTTTGAGTACCTTCTGATGGAAAATACTCAAACCGTGAAGAGCCATTTTGATGTGGTGGTCTCTCTATCTCTTGAATGGAATTGGAAGCATGTGAGGGGCGTTACCGTAGTTGATGAAGTGAATATCAAACATAGAAGTTGTGATCCTTATTCTACTAGAAGCCTACCCAGTCCTAGCACTACTACAACTACTAGCGTCATTGGACAAATACAACCACTGTCTATTAGATGCCGCGAGTGGGGTCGACTAGGACTGCGTTGTAAGTAAGAAAAGAACATCCCCTGCCATCAAGCTGAGGAGGTGGCGTTGAGGTAGTAAGAAAAGTGGCGTCATACTGCTTTGCTGACGAGTGATAATCTCCACCTCCACACAATCTCCACACAGCAATCGTATTGTAAGTAAGAAAAGAACATCCCCTGCCATCAGGCTGAGGAGTGATAATCTCCACACAGCTTTCGTATCCAGGCATCAGTATCGTTCATGAGCATCATATTCAGTTCCAGCTAATCGAAATGTAGTTCTTGTGTCTGTGCAATCTGTGACAAAGGAATCATGATAACTAAACTGTGTAAGTATAATTGGTTGTATCTTCGATATCTACTTCTACTCCGTATTGACTATTCATTGTCATTCATATTCATTCAGGGAAAAAAAATTTAGATCTTCGCAGTTTCATCTCTGACCAAGTTCGCCTTAGGCCTCCAATTTCTACGCTTCGCAGTTGGAGATCTGGTAGGACAGGAAGTGCTGCATGCCCAATGGGGCGCCGTCGGAACCAGGTGCAAATTCTTCACAGGTACTGGCCGGCTGAGAACTGTCGCAAGATCCAATCTCCAAGGGTTTCGCTGAACCAGCTGCGCAGTCATTCCATAGATACAAGGTCACCTTCAGATTCGTGCCGCAAACCTGATGGTGGTGATCCATTCTGTTGGGGTTTACCACTACCAAGCTAGTAAATAGATCGATGTTGAACAAGTTCGGATACTACTAAAGTACATCAATATAAGTACTTACCTAAAAGTAAGTAAGTAAGTAAGCTAGTAAAAGGAAATAGATCGATGAACAAATTCGGATACTAAAAAAGTACAGTCCTTACCTTAATCCTCGGTTCTGTGGAACTCAGCTGGTAGTTCTCTGGAACTTTCTGGCAATCCATGGAGCTCTGCGATCCCCCAACGCCTGCGCCATAGATCTTGTTATCGCTGAAAAAAACCTCCCCAGTGACCGGTTGCTTCTTCCGCTGTTGAAGGTGGGCTCCGGATTAGATGAAGAAGAAGAATCAATATCATAGTCCCACTCAGTTGTTCTACCGAACTCCAGAAACTAAGTAAAAGTATAAGTTGTATTTAGTTCGTTTCATAAAGTAGCGACGATCGCGCATCGACACCGCAGAGCAGCGCGAAAAGAGACGCAACTTTCACGAACATCATTTTTGTTTTTTCTGATGCGTGGTGGTGGTGCCTAGACTTTTTGTACTAGTGTAGATGACTATTGCACATGAATCTACTCACAGACACAACTACAAATGCTTTCTCTTATCTACTACTTGTTGTTGTGCTTGTCCGACGACGCCCTAACGATAACGAAGACACGGTGAATTATGGTCCAAAGTCTGAGTCATCTCAACATGAATGCCAATTAACCTTCAAGCACTTTGTAGCTTTTAATCTGGTAGTAAAAAAATCTTCTCCACCGCTTCCCAGTGCAAAAAGTCTTCCTGTCATGATGATGCTTTTTCCGCAACTACCACGTGCATAGCATTCAAAGGATATCAAAGAAAATGTTGTTAGTTTGATGAAGAGTTGTTCATCACTTGTTCATAACTTGAGTAAAAAATAGCTTGTTGACTGAGTAGATTGGAAAAAAAAGTTTCTAGACATACCATGCACCTACAAATACAATGCTTGTTGACTTGAGTAAAAATAAAGGGAAGGTGTTGACAGCATTATCAAACACAGGAGAATGGACTGCTGTACAGGAAATGGAAAAGTTTTTAGAGTTGATATTGAATATCTATATCAGATAGTGATCGCTATTAATATTTCATCACGTTCATGTAGATCTGCGCACAATCAAATCCATGAGTTGTCTACATCATCCCTGATTTGTCAATATTCTATCTGTGAATCCTGATCCTCATGCTCGTCATATAATGAATTCTATAGTACTATCTTCGACTTCGTGGACAGGGAAAACATAGAAAAATGTTGTATACTATGTATACATCTAGTCCTCTAACTTCTACTTCTTCTTCGAAGACTGATTTACTTGGCTCCACTCAAGATCGCTTTAGCTTTCTGTGCGGCCTCGATCTCGTTGGCCATAGCCTCTTGGCGTTGTCCAAAAAACTTCAACAGGAAGTCGCAATCGTTGCGCAGAGAGGTGTTTACTTTGGATAAGCCTTCGACTTCGCCTTTCTTGTCCGCGACTTCCCTCTCCGTATCGGACTTCGCTTCGACCTGGTGGAGGCGGGTTGCGAAAGTGCTTTGGAAGAGGCTGCGAAAGTGCTTTGGAAGAGGTTTGGGAAGAGGCTGCGAAAGTGCTTTGGAAGAGGTTTGGGAAGAGGTTCATGTTGATCGCCGTAGAGGCGTCTCGAATCAATGTGGACACAACAGCACATAGCTACCAAAAACTACAAACACGATAAGTTCTAAAACAGCAGGAGTCTCCTGCTGTTCCAGAGCAGGAGAACAACTACTTCTCTACGGAGATCATGATACCTTATCCGCTCTTTCCTCTCCAAGAGAGGCGATTGTTGCGTAGCTTGCGTCCAAGGCTGCATTGGAGTCAGCGATGTACTTTTCGTAGTCCAGTTGCGCTTGCTTCTCCGTCTTCATGCTATCCACCTCCAGAGCCTTCGAATCGCCCATGATCTTATCCATCATCGCGAGAACCCCGGAAGAAGCATCCTGCGCTTTGTAGCCCTTGAGGGAGCCTGGCATCGGAGTCTGGTCCGTCTGCAGAGGGCTTTAGAAGTGGAGGATTTATTAAGGAAGTCATTTTTTAGAACAACAAGTGGAGGAGGATGATGATAAAGTGCCCGTGCCATAAAGTTCATAGTGGTCCTTAAGGACCTTCAAAGCCTTGGCGAGGACTTTCTGCATCGCTCGCTGTTCATTGACGGTTTTCTGGAATTCCGCGTTGCCGGGTTCATTAGAACAGTAATCATATCGATCCAGATTTATGCTGGTGTCTCTTCTTGATGAAGCACGTCTTCAGAGTGCTTGAATCATGTAGAGCCGCGCCAACATCCCTTTCTTGACATCTAAATTTATACATCACGTAGTAGTGAGATCAATTTGATTCAGTGTCTACTGTCTAGATGGTCGTAACTTCACGCTCAGTTTCTGCCTTCTTCATGTCGTTCAGGGTATCAGCCAATGACTCCTTCTCGGCAACGACATCGGTGTCAATTTTAGCGATCTGTTCCACCAAAGACGCGATCTTCTCCTCCCCCAACTGCTGGTCACGCTTGGCTGCAACTGTTTCTGTAGCTTAGACGATGAAGTAAGATAGAAGTAGAAAATAGATTGTACATGGGTTATAGAGAGCAGAAAGAATTTTCGGAGAATTGGACGATTCACAGGTGGAACAAGTATCTAGTGTCTGGTGCTATGTCCATTGACAAAAGCAGAAGTCATGGGCATAATTTTCGTTCGTTTGAATGTTCACAGTGCACCCGTCCCGGGTCTTGACGTCGAGAGCCATCTGCGCTTTGATATCAGCCACCAAATTGTCGATCATTTCCTTCACTAATGTTAGAAGAATCGATGAGGAGGAGGAGGACTACAAAGTATTTCATTGGACAACTTCAACTACGTACATGTACAATTATACGCTTGAGACATCGACATCCATGGACATCAGTGGCAGTAGTTTGTTCTAAATGTAAATTCTTCTAGAGGCTGAGGATTACGCTTTCTTTTCGTCATCAACCTCTTTATTCTAAATAGCATAACTTTGTAAAGGCGTCTAGGCGCACAGACTGAGCGATCAAGGCCAACTTAGCTTTCTGCGTGTTCATATTCGACTGGATCTTGGCGCTTTGCAGATCCATGCTAACCTCATCCCAGGAAGGCAGCGAATCCAAGGTGTGCTGGAGAACCTAGTAAGTGGTGGCAGTAATGGAATTCGGTTGGTCTTTACTAACAGGAGCCAGCCAAATAATAGAACTAGCAAAGGGAGCACCCCAGGCGCGACTGTTCTCCTTCTGGTGTTGCAGCAGTCAGGGCAATCATATGAAAGGAGTACCCTGGCAGCCTTTCCTCTCTTTGCCTCGCTTGAAGAGGTGCGCGCAGCCACTTGCACGAAGCCGAAGGCCGATGGCTGAAGAGCGGCGCGGGTTTCGTCAGACGTGAGGATCTCCAAAGCCTTTCCGACAGCTAAAGATTAGAAACGAGCTATAATTCGAGTTCAAGTTCGTTCATAGCAATCACACAACGACAACGTTCTGCGAAGCGGTAGCGGATGCGAAAAAAGAAAACTCTAGTAACCTGTAGACCGACCCTGTAGAAAGCTAAAGAGCAACAGTCTGACACAACCACTACTTGCTTCGCAAGAGGTACACAATGATCCATCTAGCCACCCAAATTTACGAACAACCACTACGACCAGTATCAACACCAAGAGCAACTCTAATTAATCTTCTACTTTTTTTGGACATCAACTTCAACATAATCGATTTCCGCGTCCCTCGCTTCTGTGCGGAGCTTCATGTCAACGTCGATATTGGTACACTGATCTTTAACTTCTGAGATTAGAGCTCCTCCAGCTCTACGAAAGCCTTAGCCTAGACATCATTGAAGACATATCTAGTATTCATTCTAGACTATAATTCATTCTCAACTCTTCAGCGTCAACAAGATTCTTAACAGCAACACTGCTGTATCGGCATCGACTTGAGCGCGGATCTTCTTCAGCTCCTCTTTGCCTTCTGTCCCTAAGAACTTCGCCTTTCCTGCTTTCGCAGTAAACTCCTCAAAGTTCTTTCGTGAGGCATCCAGCTGAGCCGTTGTTGTTGTATCGGTTAGAAGATTTGCCACCTTCAATTTTTTGTAATCTACGACAATGCAGCTGCCCTTATTTGTAGTACACACAGTCAGTGTACTACGTGGTTTATCAGACGTGATTCATAAAAAATGGCGCCTTCTCATATTAAGCACTTACACCCCTACTTCTCTTTACGGTAGCCTTAACTTCAACTCTTTGCAGGCTTTCGTCTCGGTTTCGATTTTCTTCTGTAATTCAGCCAAATCTGCGGAGAACTCGTCTTTCATGGAATTCAGGATACCAAATACTTGGCCACTACCACTCTGATATTTACCCAAATGCCCAGCTTTCTGCACAAAAGCGCCTAAAACAGAGGAAGCAGAGGCCTCGTCCAGAACAGGGCGGAAGGAACCTGAGGTCTATTTCGTGTTTCTTGTTCCACAGTTTAAGTTTGGAAGAGCGACAGGAAACCATGGATGTAGATGATGTTGTTGTTGTAGTACAAGATGATGGAAAACGAAACCCACCCAAATTGAAAATTTACATTCCATCACGAAAACCCATCCAAATGAATCCAATTCGAAAAGAAAAAAGTAGTATAAGCAAAAGACCACTAAGTGCTTGTCCGAGTTTGGCTTCGGCTCCCGTGCTCGCTTGCAAGAAACTCTTGCCTCCAAAGTTTGAGCTGTAGTCCTTTCCGTACATGATTCGTGCTTTCTGGTTCGTGATGTGCAGAGTCGTTTGTAAGGCTGAAACCACCTCTGGATTGGTCTGCAACAACGACTGGTGCTTGCGAGGATTAGAAGAGTAGATCCTTTTGATTCTATAAATATTATAACACCATGCTATAATCGGCAAGATATAGATCAGCAGATAATGCCATTCTATACGTAGATCCAGTTCTCCTGTCTTGTTACATAATTATATCATGCAGATGACCTCCCTGGATAGGATAGGTTATCATACTAGGAGCTGGTACTACCCCTAGCTACCGTCTCAATGATTTATCGAGCTCCTTCGATACGAGGAGAAAAGAAAGTACTTCTTCTACGGTACAACTCCTTTACGGAGGTCCGGAAACGTAAACTACCTGGAAAGATGAACGAGTACATCAACTAAGAAATACTTCTTAGACTATAATAGGAGAAACATCATTCCATTTGTTCCGCCATAACAAGGATTTTCAATGCGTTGTCTAGTGCTGCAACGGTCGAGGCCAGTTCAGCTTCTTCCTGTCTCATATCCTTCATCGACGCTTCGCATTGCTCTTCTGAGTCCGCAAGAGTCTGTTCTAGCTTGGCCACTTTCTTCTTGGCGTTCTTGGCGTTGACGGATTAGAAGTAGGGGACGCGGGGGAGAGAGCAGCTAGACAATTGAAATTGGAGGATGGTTCTCGAGCAGAGCTGAAAATCACAGTGGAGTGGTTTTGGAAACGTTTCCGAAGATTTCCCACTCCCTGAAGACGTGATCATTATCATTACCTTTCGTTGTTCTATAATTTCTTTATTCAACTACTAGCTTTGGCTTTGCTGAAGCTTAAAGCTAGTAGCTTTGCTGAAGATTCGTCCTCAACATGCTTAGTACCATATATAATTCGATTGCTTTTACGATTAGGCAACAACAGAAGGAGAAGAACCTGAAGTGGAGCCATAACTTTCATATTCACCAACTTTGCCAGCCTCTTCGAATATCTCCCCTTCTAGCGTTTTGGCAGCTGCTTTCCCACCAGCTATGGCCTTAGTCTTGTCCTTGATATTCGTTTTGCACCAACACTGAAGATCCGAGTACCTGTTTAAGTTTATTGTTCTACTTGTTGTACTTTTTGTGATGCGACGAGAGGAGGACCGTAGGCATGAGTATTTGAAGCTGGAAGTCGAAGTAAGTCTTGATCTACACTCTAGCCTTCTAGATCTGAAGATAGGTACAATTCTCCGTCTTTTTTCTTTTCGTCCTCTAGGTTCTGAGCCATTTGCTGCAACAGACCAACCACTTTCTGAATCGGGGTTTGCTCGGTCGCGGACGCAGCAACTAAGGCCGAAGCCGACGAAACAGCAAGGAGAGCAGCACGCATCTTTCGGTTTTGTGGAGCAGGACGAGAACTTATCTTGCTCTCCAACATGCAATCCTACTAGGCTCACGACAACACTTTGCTTGGCATCTAGATGGCAGTCAGGACGACGGCAAGATGACGGTCACTGTAATCGGCATTGCATCGCCCACCTTGAGCTGCCAATTCTCAGACACCTTCAACATCTTGAAACTTCTCGACACTTGGACTAGTAGTAGTAGTGTACCCATTCGCGGGGAGGACTCATATCAATTTAATTTCATCTCCAGTCAGATGACACTTGATGATGAGAACGATTCTCCTTCTGATAAACCGTGTAGCTGTGACAGCCTAGGTTATGTTTCTTTAGAGAACAAGAATGCCATCGCCGATTCTCTTACCCACAGCAACCCTTTCTCAGGTCGTCAACACAACTCCTCGAAAGGCGCACAAGCATTGTACATTCTGGTCTTCATCTCAGTTTCTCGGTTTTTGGTGCTTGTTGCTCACTTAGGATAACAGCAGACACTTCTCTGTGATGAAAGAACTTCAAAATAATGCGTTATCTACTCAAATTACTGCGTTTCTGTGTGTCAAGAAAAAGATAGTACCTACTGTGAAAAAAGTGCAAAGAGGGAGCACTTCTCCTGATAACGAACATAATGTCAGTGCCTGCGTAAGTAGTGGCGGCGTGAATCTACTCGGCGACTTGCCTAAGATTTCGTCCCTGACGGCTTCTATAAGTAATGCTCAAAGCTAGATGAAAAGAGAGAAAAAAGAACAAGAAAAAGCCATGCTATGTTGCTACGTACAGAGATAAGGTCGAAATGTTGTTAAATCTAGAAAAAGGTAGGAGAATACACAGCATGTTGCTGTCCCTGCTATACTTCTGGCCACTCTCACAATACGGTGGATGCAACATTCTTGTTCAGTCACCTTGTACATCAATACCATCTAAAACTGAATCCAATAGACGTAGTCGCTGGAGATGTGCATACGCAAACCCGTTTTGCAATACGGTTCCAAGACCTCAAGGCGGTTCCCAAAAATCGCGGCCGTGCCGTCTCCACTTAGTGCACAGTACCCGTTCAATAACTCCTCAAAGAAGTCCAGAACGCCGTGACCCATCCCTGGAAAGGTGAACAGCTGAGGTTAGAGGCTCATTACGAGAACGAGCGGAAACTGTGAATGGTTCCGGTATTTGGTAACCTGAGTTTGATCATAAGGGAAAACAAGAAGAGAACCCTTAGGATCAAATTCAGGCTATACCAAAAATACCAGAACCATACAAACTGAAAGAAGAGGTGGGACTGCGTTGTACTACTGCACGACCACTGATGAGATTCATTTAACAAGTCCTGTCTTGGCCGTCGCCGTGCAACATCATGGAGATACTCATCCATTGAACTACAACAATTCTTGAGACTCCATCCTCTAGACTTCTGTTCTTCTACGCATTCGAAAGATTAGGATGCTTGTGTTCATCGTTGACAACTTCTTCTACAGCCTCAACCATGCCGTAACCCAAATCATGTCCTGCGAGAATGCCACCTGGTTTCTTCACCTTCCAGAAATAGTGTTCCAAGTCCTGCCGAACGCCATGTTCCGAATGATCGCCATCGATAAAGATGAAGTCAGCGCCGTTGTCTGCAAAGGGAAGTTAGAATGGCTTTATTTAGTTGGATTAGTGGTTGGGGCCATGCTGTTCGGGTGGGGAGCATGGTATCGTCTGATCGGTGTGTCGTCTGAGAAAATGTGGCTCACTGAAACAGTTACAGTTACAGACCTAGCAGGCTGTGTACGTCGTTTTTGTTGTTTTTAGCCAAATTCTTCGTCATAAAAATCCGGAATATCTTGCGCGAATTCCTGCAAGACTTGGAAATGCCTTGGATCACCTCTGTCCTGGATTATCTGCCTTTGTCTCGCTTGAAACCGCCTCTCCACGGACAGGACATCTCCTTGACGAAGAAGATCTTCATGTGCATTTTGAAGATTTTCACCAGAAGTTTGTGGTTGCATTTCTTCGACCTCCATAGCCATAGTGTAGCAATCCTGACGCCGTACTCGACAAAAATCACTATCCATACTGCAACCGTTACCGTTTTGCCGCTCAGCCATGCGGACAGGATCCAGGAAATGAGCCACGCACCATTTTGATTAGAAGCATTCAGTAGCCAAACGCACCAGAAACTAGCGAAACCAACAATGTCGTCATCAAACGTCACTTTTTTAGCAACGTGTCTAACCAGTGATGTTAAGGTCAGGTTGTAGGCTAGCGAAATCGACGTCGTCAACACCAAACCTACAAATGATCACTAGGGTACCTAAAGCTGCGAAACCATGCTGATACCGGTGCCTTAATCTTCCGTACTAACGTCTCGCGTATTCGTATAGAAAGCGTTAGCTGCCCACAAAGCTCTAGCATCCGCAAAGCCACAGAAATTGAATATCTTGCTTTCTTGCTGTGCTAGAAAAGTCGCAGTACTGCTTGCAGAAGGAGCCGTGTGGTCTTCTCCACCACCACTACCTCCCGAAGCTGCACACTCTGGCCAAGACGGACTTCCTACTCCAGAAAAAGTTTCTATAGCGAGACTTCTCCCCTCGCCTAGGCTTTCGCGTAGATACTTAACAGCTAAAGCGGCACAAGCGGCGTCACCACCACACAGGCCTTGCTCGAAATAACCGAATATTAGAAGGATGACGAGAGAGGCAGGTGGCCTATCATGACTATGCTAACGCCATGCCAACATGGCGCCTCTTATATATATAAATATGTTCCAGGGGTGGAGGCTCCCCCCCAGAAATTCGTATCTACGAACGAGGCCACTCAGGGAAGTAGTGCCTATATATAAGTATCAATATATGGCCCAGGGCTCAGGGCTACGGCACCCCCCCCGAGCGTAGGGGGTGCGCCGTAAGGTGGACCGAACGCCGTAGAGCTGTCCACATTAGTCCCACCGCGTAGCCCCCCTATTAAAAGGGTGGGCTTCTTGCTCTTCTTTGACGCGTGACGCGCGACCCACGGATCGCGCAGTGGTCAGTGGATCAATCAGTGATCCGGGGCTTGATCAGTGATCCGGGACCTGGTCAGTGGTCCGGGGACTGGTCAGCGATCCGGGGATTGATCAGCGACCCGGGGATTGGTCAGCGATCCACGGATTGATCAGTCACGCGGGGCCTGATCAGTGATCCGCTGATGGGTCAGGGATCCGCGGATTGATCAAAGACCCACGGATCGACCAGTGATCCGCGGATTGGTCCGGGATCCGGGAAAGAATTGAACAGTGATCCGCGGATTGGTCAGGGATCCGCGGCTTGATCAGTGATCCGCGGACATATCAAAGAGAGACCCACGGATCGACCAGGGACCCGTGGCTTGATCAGTGAACCACGGATCGACCAAGGACCCACGGATCGACCAGAGACCCACGGATCGACAAAAGATTCGGGGACTGATCAAGGATCCACGGATCGATCAAAGATCCACGGATCCACGTCGACCAAGGAGCCGGGGATCGATCAAGGGCCCGGGGATCGATCAAGGGCCCGCGGATCGATCAAAGACCCGCAGATTGATCAAAAGTCCGCAGATCGATCAAAAGTCCGCAGATCGATCAAAGAACAGCGGGTCGACCTTCAAAGACCGGCGGATCGATCAAAGGCCGGCGGATCGATCAAAGACCCACACCAGATCGCTCGGCCAAAGATCACCGGAACGACCAAAGGTCCACGGATCGATCAAAGAACCCCGGATCGATCAAAGATCCACGGATCGACCAAAGACCCAGAGAGCGACCAAAGATCCACGGACCACGCGCCGCCGCGTGACACGTGAGGGGGCGAAGCACATTGCGCGAGTTAGCTGCGTGACCAGCTACAAGAAGGCCCCCACCCTAACGTCACGAAAAAGCAAACGAAGTAAGCGAACGCATAGAATGCGCGCCCGCCTTGCCCCTGCGCATCACGCTCAAGACGATCGCAGACCGCCAGGGCGCCCCTGCTCCTTGGCCACCTTCTTCACCTGCTTCAGAGCCCGCGAGTCCGCTCCCGATTTTTCGCGGTTTGCTTTCCCTTGCTCGCGGTTTTTTGCTGCTCCTCCGCCTTCTTCTTCGTCTCCTTTTGCCTCTCTCAGCTAGCACCTTGTCACCCATGCTGCGCCTCTCTTGGGCCGCTCCTGTCTTGCGACCGCTTCGCCTCTCCTTGATGCTGCTACGCCTTCCGCAGGCATGACAGCCCTCAGCTTTTCCCGTCGCTTCTGTTGCCGTTGCCTGGCGGGCTCGTCTCGCCTCCGCTCCTCAGCAACAAGCGCGCCCCCAGATTGACAGAGACCGCCAGCAGCTGCCCGAGGCGCCCCAGTTGACTCCCTTGCGGCTGGCACTTCGATCGGGCTCGGGGTCTTCGCGTGCTGCTGGCTCTGCGTTGGTTGTCATGTCTTTAGCTGCGTGCCAAAACGCAAGAAATGAAAAAACGGACGAGGCACCACCAGCATGCCACTCGTGGCGCGGCCTGTTTTCGTCGCGGTGTCTGCCTTTGCTGTTTTTTTCAACTCTCTCACCCCCAAGAGAGCCCGCTCGGCAGCCTTCAGGCGGGGATGCGATCCGCCGGACGTGGCCGGCCCCTGCGAAGCGCCTCAGCTGTCGCGCTACCTTGCGTCCATGGGTTGCAGCTTTTCAGCTACCACCCTGACCCACAAGCAAGACAAGCCCGACGCCTTTTTTTTCCGCGGCCTTCCTCTCCGGCAGTTTTCCCGCGCACGCTCTTGGTGGGCTCGCTCGCGCCGCGCCGCTGCCACGCGCTCCGCTTCACCCTTCCAGGTGCCGCCGGTGTCCTATATACTTCGCCGCCGCAGCAGTGAGCCGGTTGCGAAGGCCTCCGAAGGCGGCAAAAGGCGAAGGGCTGGACCCCCTGAGCCGTGCGGCCTGTACCCTCCAGGCCCTTGGTCATCGGCTTGCCTGCTCTTGACCTTGAGGCCGTGGCCGCCTTCGGCGGCCCTTTACCCCGGAGGCCTCCCGCCTGCGAGGGTCAGCAGAGGCCAAGAGGTCCCGAAGGAACATCCAGAGAGGCGCAAGGGGACGCCCGCGCCATTTTTTGACGCCTTCCACCACTAGAATCCGCGAAGCTCAGCGCTAAAAAGCGCGCGCGCGCGCCACCACACCAGAGAGGGGGCACCGTGCAGCCCTAAAACATATACGGGGACTCACAGTACAAGCACATCCTTCATGATCTAGCATAAAGCCAAGGATCCTCCAGCTTGTGCATTGCGCCAATCCTGAAGCCCTGGTATATTCCGATCTTTCGTCGGCCAAGGATCTACCAGGTGGAAGTAGATCTCTTCACCGACTACTGGGTCTTGTAGCACTCTGGTCTCCACCGCTGCACGAAAGACGCCTACTGAGATTGCTTGTAACTTCGACTTCCTAAAGGTGTTTCCGGTCTCTCTACTATTGTGTTCGTGGTGGAGCTTGCGCAACAAGTACACGATCCAGTCGTAGTGCGTCAGGCAAGTCTCATCGTGGAACTCGAACTGCAACAAATTCCGTCTTGCTGTTTGGTAATCTTCGATTTTCTTGTTCAGAAGATGAAGAGGTAGTTGAGACTGATGCTGATCTTGTCCTCTATGTTGGAAGAATTCAGTCCACGACTGCTGCAGTCCTAACCCATGTCTAAGTGCTTTGCCAACGAAATTTGGTAGTGGTTTACTAGGTGTCCCCGCTTCAATTGTGACGCTTTCATCCGTATGAGCTCCTTGAAGATAGGGCAACATCTGTTCCCTCCATCTCCTTTTCGCGGTGACTCTTACTGCTTCCTTGAAGCTAGCACTCTCAAGCAAATCCTTGAAGTATTTCAAACGCTCCTTCTCCAACAAACAAGCTGGAACGCGTAATAACGGATAAGAGCATTGCATTCGAACTTCGAGATTAGAGCAGGTACAAAGTACTCCTAATCAGATTTATCTATCCCTGCACAGGATCTGGATCATGTGTGTGCCCTGTACATAAAGGATGCGTGTTGTAGGTATCCCTCTAAGCAAAGGATAGGGATACGTGTAATAAAGTAGATAAAGACCGTAATATAGCCAACCCTGTTCCTGTACAACAGGGGGCTGCTCTTTTCCCCTTTTACGATGTAAGGATATTAGGCCACTTGAGTGCTGTTGGGTCGTCAATCCACTTAGTTAGAAAAGCTGTTGGATTACTACGAGCCTTAACTAGGTTCGACAAGGGGACCAAAGTTGTCAAGAAGGAGTCATCGACCTGGATGCTTTCCTCTGCTGGAGGAACATCGTCGAAGCAACGCCGGTTCTTAGAAGGTCGTGGGAGTGAAGTAGAAGTAGAGTGAACATGATCGGTCTTTAACTACAACTACATCCTTTCTGGTCTTGCTTATGGTTGACATTGTAACCACATTGACCAGTAAGCCTTTCTTATACTAATTATTTTGCCCATAATTTGGGGATCAGAATAACTAAAGTGTCGTGTCTAAATCCAAGAATTTCCTACGATCTTCTACGAATCAACGACCAAAAACCATAACATTGTTCGGATCCATCCGTGTGTTACTCGCGTTAACGTACCACGTTTGGTCCTGGCCATCCCAGCTTGGGAAATACCTCCTCTCAAACAATTGTTCGCGCCAACTATGTCGTCTCCCAGTCTCGATATCTCGAATCAAAGGTGGCCGACGCCAGAAACGCTCCACGGCAGGGACTTGGTGTTTCTCTTTGTGGTTCAAAGATGTCTTCGAATCCACCTCACTGGCTGTCACTACGCCGCTTGCTCCAATCAAAAACCCATCTCCAATCTGTTGATTTGCTTCAGGCCTGACAGCTTCTTGGCGTACTACCACATCAGAAAAAAACAAAAAAGGGTTGAATTTGTGTCCTGCTCTCAGCATCGAAGTTTGATGACTGATAGAAACTGGAGGACCTTTTTCTTCTTGTGCGGCCGCAGCAGACGTCGAGGTACTCGTTCTAGTAAGCCCTTGCAGTTCCAACCTCCGGAGTTCGTCAGCAGGCAGCAGAGGAATGTTTTCGTGATTTGCTGTGATGCCTTGGATTAGAGGGAAGATGGGTGTGGTCGTGGACGAGACAAAGAAAGAAAACCAACTTGGAAACAAAGAGGTCATGCTTCGGAAAGAGCTACGGAAACTGCGCGCCACTCCCTTCTAGAAGTATTAAGGATGACAGAATCTCCTGTCGTAATAACTTAGCAACACAGGAGGAGGAGATCCTGTCATCCTTGTTTCTAGGCGTTGGCGTAGCAAGGTCCTCACAAGCACAACAACGCAAGAAATCCAAACCCATCGTGGTCATAACTCCAACATGTATCTCTGCAAAAAATCTCCCTCAATGCTCATCTTTGCGGTGGTGCTGTCGTATTCTGTCCGCAACCATTGTCGTGTGTAGTCGTTCGCATCCTGGCCATTGGCGCTAAAGTGTGCTGGAGATATTCCTAATTGTCGGAGGTAAAGGAATTCGAGCTAACCCTTATCCGTCTTGAGAGGCATCTTGGTCCTTCTTTCCCCTCCCTCGTGGGATAGCTTCGCTCAAACAAGAAAGAAGATGCTTCTGAAGATGGATCCGGCAAGGCCTTAAAAGAAGTTTATCTTCCTAATCTGTTGCATAGTAGGCAGAACGGCCTGCCATTCCAGGATGTCGCTTTTCACCCGTTGTCGTGTCATAGCTTGCCGGGAGTGGTGTTCGTTGTTTAGATGAGAAAAGTCTTGCTGTAATATATACCGCTGGATGACACAAGCCTCACCCTGTACACTATGTCTGTAGTCTTGCTGTATCTGTGTGAGTATTTTTGAATCATCATCAAATGATCCCAGTACTAGTACTTAAGTACTTTCTTGTTAATTTTTACATTTAACACTACCCTTCTTCGAAGTCCTCGCCTTAAGTTTGACCCACCCACAGCGCCAATCTCGTCGTCTAGATCCATCAAGTACCTCCTCGCCTGCTCTTGTCGGTCCGAAAGCTCAGGATGGTCATGTGGGAGCAAGATAAACCGCGAAAACAGACCGCTTAAACAATTTGTTCTTGATATTAGGGGCTTCAAGTTGACCTATCTCATTTTGCACGAGGTAGAATCTATCCGCTAAGTCGCGTATTCATCCATCCATCGATCTATGTATCTATGTATCTATCTATCTATCTTTTATCTATCTACCCACCTTTTCCACTTTTTTGAAAAGAAAGAACTAGGTCTTTCCCCTTTGAAGAAAGGGCTATAGCTTGATATGTTCTACGATCATACGGATAGGTCACTGACTTGACAAACCGTAACAACAAGGAGTCCGATATGCGACTGTGCATGCGCTTTAGCAAGTTCAAGTGGCCTCTTTGTCTTACGACATTTTGGACCACGATTCGCACTTTGGTTAACCGGATCCAGGCTTGGAGGAATCTACGTGCTGTGCTAGAAGCTGTAGAGGTGGCCGTAGGTCCAGCACCATCATGCGATAGTTAGAGGTAGGTTTTTGGTGTTTGTTTATCCCGCTTGTTATGGCTGTCCCCCTTAGGAACGCCATAACAAACGGTAACAAAAGCACCTTTAACCTACCCCTAAGAAAGTCCTGTCACCACATTTTCTGAAGACGCCCGAGATTCTTTACTTGTACTAGAAGAAGAAGGGGATGCTTTATTCCCACGACTAGTTCCTGCCTCACGACTTGTCTGTGACGAGTACTCTGATAGTAGATCTGCCACCAATTTTTCACTGGCTGCCACATCCTCTACTTCCTGCAATGCCCGTGCATGGGAGTCACCAGCGCCACTAGCTAAACTGGCTACTACACTCGAGTAGCTGTCGGAAAAAAGGTCTCCCGCACTGGGTATCAAAGGCCACGACTCAGGATAATCGTCAGACAAAGGGGGCTTGTCGGAGGACAGGGGCTTGGCTTGGAAGGGTGAAAACGTTCGACTACTGATCCACTGCCAGAAGAACTCGTAGTCTGCTGACCATGGAGGTGATTGGTCACCACCACTACCTTTTTCGTTACCACTTTTCTGCAGACTCTCACCACTAACTGCAACTGCATCCGCATGATCTTCAAAATAAGGCGTCAATGCTCCAGTGGCATAGAATTTTGTTGAGTGCGTCAGGAATTGCTCTAGGGCTGTGTCTAGGTAGGCGGAAAGTCCATTGGCTGAGTCCAGCACGTCGGTCATCACGGTAGCCCACAAATTAGCTGTCTGACGTAGCAAAGCTCGAAAAAAAAGCTGTGGATTGGCACAAAACCGAATGTCATTGCGGAAATGAGGAGGTTTGGATTAGAATGGTGAGGAGGTTTGGACAAAAAAGATGTGGACGTGGAGGTGAGGCGACAATATATAATTTTGGTGGAGCCGACCTAACTAGAAAAGAGAAAGACCAGAGGAAGATAGAAAAGCGAAAAGGGTAACTATCATAATTTTTGACGAGGGACGAGTTAGCCAACATTGAAGATTTTGGTAAAAAATTATCAACCTCAAAAATCACGTTCAATGAGCTAACTTTTCATAAAACGAGCTGCTTGATGAGCTTCCTTCTCCTTGTTTGCCAGCGTATGCGTGTTTTCCACCTCCGGTTTCTGGTACTGCTTCGTCCTCTACAACTGCCACATTTCCATACTCCAAGCCATCACGCAAATATTGCCCTTTGAGAACGCCTTCAACGCGCTCTCGCAAATGCTGGACGTGGTGTCTGATCAGCTGCTTGCTTCTACTTGCAGTCATGCTGGTCGTGGTGCTATCAATTTCAAGACTTCCTCCACCACCACCACCTCCTCTGTTTCTTGCGTCGTCCTTGTTGATACCTTGAATATCTCGTCCAGGTCCACTAGTATGACAGGAAAAAGTGTACTCGTACTCAGGAAATTGGCTGCTTTCTTACTTTAAACCTAGCTAAAAACTTCTCGAGTAAATGAGTACACTCCCTCCTTTCATAACTAGCGCCACCAAATACTACTTTCTCCGGCAAGTGCTGAATACTCTCGAGAATTTCTTTTTCAGCCATGTTTAGTCTTGAGAACAGAGCGGAACTGATTTCGCTGACGAAGTGCTCAATGACCTCCTTGCTGCCATTCTGAAAGTCCAACTTCTCACCACAGTAGAGCTTCTCATAGTTTTTTAGGCCGTACGTTAGAAGAAGAAGATGTTGAGAAGAAGAAGATGTTGAGAATCATTAATGTTGTACTTGGGGAGCATCAAGGGGGTGAAAGCAGGGTTTGTAATTGGAATATGGTCCGCTTTCTAAAACAAAAGGAACGGAGCTGAGGAGGATTTCTAAGGATTTTGCTTCTAGAGCGACTTTTGGCTGAGTCTTGGATCTAATGCTAGATCCCACAAATCTTAACTCTTGCACCACGTAGAGTAAGCGCGCAGCCATTCGGTCAAACTGTGGCACAATTCGAAAGAGATAAAAGTCTGCGAAAACCAAGTCCTCGGAGAAATTCAGGGCCACCTCAAACCTCTCCAAACGTCTTCGCACTGCTTGAAACAAAAGACGGAGACGATAGTTGCTAGGTTGACTGGGAGGTTGCTCATGCTGCTCTTGTTCTGATGTACTACTTGGTGGATGTCCTTCTGCTTGTTGAACTTGCTTCAGCCGGTCTATTTCCGCTAAGATCTGGATCGTTTCTCGTAAGGTCTTTTCATCAGGTATGGGTGAGTCGTCAGCCATTGTTCTTTCTTCGTGACCTCTGTCTTGCCGTTCAACTGCCTTCCCTTCGACGTCTTGCTCTTCTCCCGTTACCACGTATTGTTGATTTACGACGTCTTGCTCTTCTCCCGTTACCACGTCTTCCTCCGCATCACCAGTATATTCGTCTCCCCCTGAGAGCACAAAACACGACAACACTTCTCGTTCCAGTTTTTCTACTGCGTCTTTTCTTTCGCCTAGTTCTAGCATCTGACTAAGAGGTCCTGGAGGCCCACCAAGTTTGTCTGAGACTCCAAACGCTTTCGGCGCTAGCATGTGCAATACCCGATACGAGGCAGAGCGGCGACTTAGAGCGACGAAACCACCGGAGAGGTTAGCGATAGAGATTGAGACGCCGTCCGCTGCAAATAAGCTCTGATGAAGCAGAGGGAACGACCAACTGCAAGTTGTACATAATTAATTACGTCTAGTCTAAGTACATAATTACGTCTACTAACTAGTCTTGCTTGTTTAGAATTTCGTGAAACGTTGGAGAAAGAAAGACCTCAAGAACCTCTAGTACACCTACGTCTGGTTTTGCTCGTTTAGAATTTCGTGGATCTACAACTGCTGAAACTATGGGATCCATCGATCTAAGGATCTCCAACCACTTCTATCAGAACTACGGGACGGATCATGGTCAATTTTAGTGTCACTAACACTATCACTGTCTCTGTCACACTACTCAAAATCCCAAACTAACATCATTTTTACCATAACCAAAGGTGCAAAATATGCCTGGACTTCGCGGTCGTGGTAGTCTGGGGCTAAAAAATCAGTCTGCCCAAAGTCTCTCAGGAGAGAGTAGGTCTCTAGATTAAAGCTCAGCATTCATTAGTCACTGACTCTGAACGGGAGCGACCCCCTTCAAAGCTCTCCCCTTTCCCTTCGTTTATTTCCCCTGTTGGTTCTCTCAAGCAGGGGAGGTCGCCTCTTCGATCTCAGTGACCCCAGTCTCAATGGTGACCACGATCTCAGTGACCCCAGTCTCAATGGTGACCATTGAAATGATTGAGCCTTAACTAGAGCCGTCTGCCTCTCGGACAGCGGATCCACGAGAGCTTCCGGAGCAGGAGGAACAGTTCCTGCAAGAAGCCGACTGAATAACCCCGCCTGGTCATTTTCTGGAGTGCCAGCTAGAGCAGGAACTGACGCAACAGTCGTCGCAAGTACTAGTTAGAGCTAGAAGAAATCTCCCATTTTGAGCGGCATCTTCCGTCTTTTTTCCCTTGAGAAACGGGACCAAGATGCCTGTGAGGATGGATTTCTTCTAGCCTTAAACTAGCCTGGCGGTAAAACGAGTTAGGGAACGACCCATCTTGATGGTGCTCCACGACACTGCCCCGCTCCGGGTCGGCTAGGGCAAGCAAGAAGCAGTCAAGAACTTGAACTTGTGGAGTTCAGTCACATCTTGATGTTTTTCGTCTTGTTCCAACTGCTATGTGACTCTGTAGTAGTTGCTAATTCAAATTGTTTGTTGCTAGCCTTATGTAGTATCCAAAATTTACATAACGTTGCTGCATGTTCATATTAAGCTGCACTCAGTAACCTGGTAACTTACTCACGCACTCACTTGCCCACTCACTCACTCACTTTCTCACTCCATGATCAATAACTCCCTAACTCCACGATCACTCAGCAGTGAGACCACGAATACACCTTTTTTGCAAAGTGAAAGGGAAGTGACCACCCTATTGTGCAAGAACATCTCTTTTTAAAGATCGCGAGCTGGAGCTTTTTTTCTTCAATATAAATCCTGATAAGTACATAGCACGTCTTCAAATTTTGATATTCGTCCGCTTTTTTTTTCAAATTTTGATCTTCAAATTTTTTCTCCTCAAACCAAGCAGCCAACAGCATCAAATTCCAAATTTCCTTCTCGTCCCCCAAGCACGCTGAAGTTTATCTGGACGATAAATCATGGGAAATTTCTCTTTCAGGTAGTCTAAGAGTTCCTCCTCCGCATTGTACAGAACTCCAATCTCGTACACGTTCCATCCTTCATTGGTTTGGAGGTTAGAGAGAAGCTGTAGTGCTGCTAGTCCAACTAGTAGTTATTGTTATAGTTTTATGAAAGAAAATGAATAGCATTCATTCTCATTGAGAGTGATATAGATATTATTTAAGTGAACACGCCAACAACTGCTTTGTGCTGATATTGAGTGAACAGGCCAACGACTCTGTGCTAAGATGACCAAGCTAAGTGCCCGATTTCTTTAAGCAACCCAAGTTTGATACTGAAAGTGCCACATGGCTCATTCGTATCATCACCTCTTGATGAAGATATTCTTAATGTTACTCGCACTCATTTCCATAACTTGATTTAAGACTTGTTGGAGGATTTCGTTGCTCGCTTCGTACTGCAACCTGATGGCAAGCAAGGTAACGGTGTCACTCACCGAGTTGGCCACATGCGACATCAGAGGGGTCCAACCGTTGTTGTCAGTGATGGAAAGGGGTTAGAGGTAGAGTGAGTGTGGCAGCTCAATGGCATGTCAACATGGAACCTCTTTTATAGCGTTTCGCATCTATGTACTATGAGGCCATTGAGTGGAGAAGTACCTCCAAAGTAGGCGAGCCACCTTTAATACACCGACTCATTGTATTAGCACTACATGATGACTTGGAGCTGTGCTGCGTGTGAATGGGTGCATAGAGCAATGATCGCCCAAGCAAAGGGTAGGAGAAGAAACAACAAGATTCTGGTAGTTAGACCCGCTCCACACTCTTCATCTTCCCATAAATATCCGCGTGACTTTTGACAAGCAATCTCGTCATCTTGACACTAGTTTCAGCCTCTAGAAATCCGGGTGCAGCCGTCGAAGCCACTAGATGCAATAGCGTTTGATGGTTCCACTCTGGGATGCGGCGTGGGCTTAGAGCAGAGACTGACTTCGAAGATGGGGTATCAAGTACTTACCTGGGGCTGTTGATGTAAGTAAACATGAAGATCATGAACTACTGAAGACATCGAATTTGATGATTCAACACCCGACCTTGAGAATGGCACCCCGTCTCAAAACGAAAAGGGTCCGTTTGATCAATTGCATCTAGTCGATAAACTGAAAGAAGCAAGTAACAGACGAGAACAACCGAGATACTGATGAGAAGGAAGCGTAGCCTTGACGTTAAGCTACGCCCCATATTTCAGTCAGTAACTCGGTTATTTCAGTTTTTCGAATGTCAATGTGCCTAGAATTTTCCCTTCTCACGTCAAATAGTCTGCTTTAGTGTCGTAAATTGATACTAGGCTGTCGCAGACATCCTGCAGCCGCTTCCGCAGAAGGAAAGTCATACTGGAAAATGGCTTGCAAAAACATATCTTGATAAAAGTCTCGGACAACGGAATAACTGTTTTGGAGGTTGTTGGAGCAGGCGTTTTCGGGAATTAAGGTTAGGCTGGGTTAGGTTAGGTTATGGATCCTGCACATCTAAACTCAAACGAGAAATTAGAATCATTCAAATGCTGCTGAAGCTAATGATAATCTCTATCTTCTTAGCAACATTAACATATCATCAACTGAATATCAAAATCAAAATGTAGAAGAACTACAAGAAGAACCACAAGGAGTATCTCATTCTGGTAGCATATCAAAACGGTCCATGCCAATGGAGAAAAAAGTAAGTGTAAATCTCAAAGTTTCTAGCAAATACTTGTCCCCCATCAGTCTAATCGCCGTATTGGCTTTGGCACCGTACGCGGAGTAACGAGCTAATTCTTCCCTCTCTCGGTCCTTTCGCATTTCTTCCATGCGTTCTTCTTCTTCGCGCTCCTCTGCCGTCATACCTTCTCGGATCATGAAGCAGGGGGTCTGGGTCATAGTACAGCCTTCCTGAAGAAATGCTGCAGGGTCGTGAAAGACGATATTTTTGTAACTATTTCGGTGAAGTAGATCGTGATCCTCACAAAATCTGTAGTGTGCATAGGAAATAGTAGTGTTCGTATGCGCAGGAGGTAGAAGTAGAAGCTCCTGTCTGAAGGTCTAGTAGTTGTAGAAAAAAACCAGGATGAAAAACAGGTGAGAACAAGTATACACTTACTACATACCTGCTTGGTACTAAAGAACCACTGTTAATAAGAGGAAAATTCAAATACGCACTTCTGAGACCTCTCCATCTTGTCTAGTAACTTCAACTAAGTCTTCGTCTCCTCATAATGGCTTTCCTATTTTCTTCTCGCCATCGCTCGGCTTCTGAACTAGAATCATTGTCGTCATAGTGCACCGTCTCCCTCGCGTCCCGCATGGTCCTATGTATCTCCAGCAGTTCTGCTCTGCCTTCCGCATTGTTGTTCAAATGCACTCCGCAGAGGACGGGGGAGAGAAGGATTAGATGGTAAAAAAAGCACTCGCAGGAGAGGACGGGGGAGAGAGGGTTTAGATGAAGATGTAGATGATAGACACGAAATTTAATACGATTTATTAAGGCCTAAAAAGTTCAAGATCAAGTAACCCTTGCTTAGAAAATACAGAATTAGGATAGTAAGAAAAAAGCAAAATACTTATCGGCTTCGATCACCACCTCCCTCCTTGATTTCTACCTCATACTTTGTGCTTTCAACTTAACATTAGCCTCCGTCTTCGTACTTCCTTCTACACATACCTCCTCTAGTGGAGCCCTAACTAGGAAAAGAAGAAAAGAAACGAAATTTGATCAAGTGCTGCCTTCTACGTCTACCTATCATAGTCATACTTAACTAAGTAGTCTAAAAATAACAGTATCCTTCCTGCCTTCACTTCTACCTATCATAGTCATACTTAACTAACTACTTCATTTCCTTCTGCCCAGAGTCATAACATTATCCTCCCTTGATTCCTTTGTAGTCTAAAAATAACAGTATCCTGCCTTCATCTCCTTCTTCCCAGAGTCATAACATTATCCTCACTTGATTCCTTTGTAGTCTAAAAATAACAGTATCCTGCCTTCATCTCCTTCTACCCAGAGTCATAACATTATCCTCCCTTGATTCCTTTGCGATTGCATATAAAACACCGGTTGCCCATTACATGCGTTTCTGGACAACAACGGGTAGCGCAAACTATCTGTTGTCACCGCATTGGCGTGGCCGCCTTCTAGGATGTCCATGTGCGCCGTCTCCGGACTTTCCGCATATGAAATGAAAAATGTAGTAAGTCGTGGCTCTCTAAGACATGATAATGTTGAAGAAAGGCCGCGTTATTTTTTGGTCGGACCTTCATTTAGGTGTAAATAGTTAAGCAGTGGTAAATGAAGATCAACGTCAAAACGACTGGGACCCTAATTGATGGAGTACGTGACTATCGCCGTGTAGGCCCCCCCTGAGGCGACTACACGACTGTCGAGGACTAAGAGTATGATACGTAAATTTTTCTTGGCCATGATCGGTTAGGTTAGGTCTCATACATTACACATAGATAGAGATACATACACATAGATACATACACATAGTATTCATGAATCTTTCGTCATACATAGTATTTCCGGATTTTTCGTTTCTTGATCTCCTCGTCACGCAAATCCTTAATTTCCTCAAGCTCTTCAGGGGTCAAGTCCTCCTCTACAAGCTGTAGCATCCCATTCTCATCCTCGACTTCTCTTACGGTTAGAAAAGATAAGAGCCCAGGTCTAGACTTCTACTCACTTACCGTTACCTGTAGTACCCCGTTGAATACGAACAAAGCGCATCCTTGTATTCATAACTTCCTATGAGCCATCCTTGTTACTGGATCCCACATGACGTATTATGTTTTGTCTTGTCATAATCTATGAACCACTCTCACAGGGTCCTCCCACATGACGTATTATGTTTTGTCTTGTCATAACCTATGAACCACTCTCACAGGGTCCTCCCACATGACGTATTATGTTTTGTCTTGCCATAACCTATGAACCACCCTTACCGGATCCCACATCACGTCGACCATCACCATGAACTCTGCCAACAGCTTTTCTTTCTCGATCTCAGCACGATAGATATACGGCTCCAGCGGTACCGCGAATTCTCTAGCAGGGATTCGATATAGGGCTGCCGAGTCGGTGCGTTAGAAGTGGTCTGTCGAGCAAGAACTGTGACCTGTGTTTCCATCATCCATCGCTATCCAGTACTGTAGATGATCAACGTTCCAGTGTACAACGCAGTCGTTGCTCTCTAACATACAGATGAACACGAACACCTCCCCTACGACCCCTAGACACTGGCTCAAATTCTACACCTCTTAACTATCAGTCGCACAGCTCTCGTCCTCCACACGCACCAGAGTGATATTCGTCAATCTATCGACCAAAAACCCGACGGGCCGACCACGAGGAAGACAATTGTAACCAATGTTGTATCGTCCTGCAGTATCTTTGCTATCCGGGCCTCCGCGTAACTTCACCACGCACTTCACCTTCGCAGCAAAACGCTCACTGCCAATACGAAACTTAGATCCTCTTCTTGCTGTTATAATCTTCTTGCTAGATAGAGATACGCATGCGAGGAAGATGAGGATGAGGATGAGTGCGTGTTGTTCATGTAATCATAGTGATGGAAGATCTTCTTGGTGTTGCGATCTTCTTGCTAAAAATACCTCGTCTTTAGGCTCACACCAGCAGAACGAGTATCAACATCATTGATTAGTCCTAGCCAGCACTCGTAGTCCAAATAGTCAAAGTCAAACTCCTCCATGTCATAAAATAAGCCGACGTGAGCAGATAAACGGGAGTTGGCCGTGTGTGCTTATCGCATGCGAAATAGACCAAGATGCCGACTCCGTAAAACTCTCTCATATCGTGCGATGTCAACAACGCCGTTGCCGCCAAAGCCCTATTTACTTCGGTTTCTTGCACTTTCAACAGGCTTTTCTTCGGAAAAAGCTTGTAGGGTGACGCATCTGGATTCCTACCGTGGTATTTTGGCTCGGTCTTAGAGCAGGAGGACGTCTACATCTTTGAGCTTCTGCATCCTTGAAGACTCTTCAATGGACGTCTACGCAATAGAGATTCATCTTTCAGCTTCTGCATCGTTGAAGACTCTTCAATGGAGAGCAGTATCCATAAACAAAGCAGTATCCACCTTATGGCACAGGAACAACTACTTACTTGAGCATACTTTTCAGGAATCAATGCAGATGAAGGCAAACACAGACATCAAGATGAATTATTTACAGAGGTACTCCAACAACAGCCTTAACGTTTAACCGCTCAACTTCTACCTCTTCACCTCCTTCCTCTTCAGCGGTTGTTGCAGCTGCTTCTGCCTCTTCTTCAGCCATCATGTCTAGGAAAGCGTTTTTTCCACCTTTTTTTTGTGTCGAAGGAGGTGGTGGAGCCTCTGAAGCTCCTGCACCCTGAGCTTCCGCTTGTGTTTGACTTTGTTGACCTGCTTGACCTTCGACTTGTTGCCCTTCTCCTGCATCCAGTTGTTGTTGGTCTGTAGTAGATTCTTGTGCCTCATGTGATTCTTCTTGTGCGCCAGTATCGTCTTTAACAGCAGGTTCTGCATGAGCTTCATCTGCCTCTCCAGTTTGCTCAGAAGTCCTCTCTTCACCAATATTTTCATCTGCTACTACTTCTCCTTCTGTAGTAGCTGGTGGTGCATCTTCGACTTTAGAAGTTCTTGTTGCGCCTTGTTGTTCGCCGTCTATCTGTGGTAGTGGTCCTACGTTTAATATTTCGGAAGATGCTGGCGCGCCTTCTGGAAGTATTTGTTCTGTTTCATCTGTAGTAGTTAGTACTTTCTCGTCTCCTTCAAATGCCTCTGTCACTTGGCCCGCACCTGTCGGCGCATCCCCTGAAGGCGCATCGTCGGGAGGTGGTGATGAATTAGCCTCTTCAGCTTGCTTCTCATCTACCACTTGTTGTTTCTCATCTACTACTACAACTACTGCTGTAGTCCCTTCTTCAGGAGCAGCTTCTTCTCCGGTGATAATATCTGGAGGTTTCTCGTGATTTCCCTCTTCTCCAGGAGGAGGCTTTTTTCTCATGGAGATGGATGGCTCCTCAATAGCATCACCTCGCTCGTCAGCAGCATCAGGCGCATCAGCGATATCTTCAAAGACGGACGACATGACTTTTTTTATATTGATTTATGCTTATCGATATCGTCCATGTCGGTCCAACAACAAATTCCTTGCTATTTTTGCTCACTTGTTTCTGGTAGTAGACTCCTAATAACAAAGTCAAATGCAAAAATGAAAGCAATCAATCCTAGAAAGGCAGTCTCAACAACTCTCTGCTCACTCGCGCTCGTAATTCTATCACAACTTCTCTTGTACTTGATACAGGTCCACCTCTAATAAATATATGCCAGTGCTGGAGGCAATCCACCTTTCGCTCTTCCTCCTCGTGAAGAATGTGAGAACAATACAAACGTGCTTGAGCCGGACGTCTCTCCCTGCTCCTGAATGCTGGCTTCAGAACGTGGCATCCTTTAGAAATTCCTGTGCAAAGTTGGTATATGCATCAACTGCGACATCTTATTTTCAAGGATTCTTGTAAATGTAGGTTGTTGTTTCTGTGCATGATACGTTATCATTATAAACCAATCGTTGTGGGCTATGTGGGAAAGCCCGGAGCTTATGCAGAAGACGCACTTCTTTTCTTCGTCTTCTACGCAGGAGCGAACAATTTCCTTTGATTTTCCTCTGCTACCGCTGTCCAATCAATCTCCGCATCTTCTTGCCCTTCGGGTACTAGAAACAGCACAAAAACGAATACCAAGACGTATGCCAGGTAAGCATGAAAGGCGAGGGAACCTCAATACAATCAGTCCGCAAAGTAAAATTGTTTTTGCGGAGGTGTGTGTGTGTGTACCTGTGTGTGTCTGTGGAGAAGGGGTTGTAGTAGATAGCAAACTTCTACTACCATGACTGTTCTCGCCATAACAATAGATTCCTTCCGCACTGGAGCTTTGTGAGTCCATCTGTGTATAAAGGGCGTTTATTTCCGAGACAGGGTCCTGCACCCAGGTGAAAAATAGTGGATGTTTGGCCTGCAATCCAAACTCGTTACTCCACTCCTCGACGGCTAGTCGGAGGGATGAAAGGGTGTGGTCTGGCATGATGAGTGATGTGGTAGAAGGAAGTCAGCTAGGTCAAACCCAGAGTCTGGATGGGAAAAGTGATGCATCTAGTACCATTGTTTTGTCGTGACTGATCCGCGAAAAAAAAAATATTGTGCAGATTGTAGGATACATGCAAGAAAAATTTCAGAATAGAGATTCAAAAAAAGTACTACGGTTGGTTCCGGAAATGTAAGGTATTCCAATGGTGATGAATTGAAATACCTTGGTGGTACATCTAAATCCGAAGTATTCCAATTATTCATCACCATAAGTAAAATGCTCGCTCTTCATCTTTGATCAACCGCATCCCGCTTTTGGCTAGTCCATTGGAGACTTCTCCACACGCAAACTTGTCTCCGCTTGCTTGGCAACAGTCTGTTCCGACTGCCCAAAAATCGGTGCTTAGAACGCGTGTCGTGTGGAGTCTGCACATTTACGCAGTGTTTTTGCTAGGACCAGGTCTAGGAGGACGAGTTAACTGTTTTTGCTAGGACTAAGTCTACGAGGAGTCAGATTCATCAGAATCATTCAAGTCATCTTAACACGGTTCCCGATGACGGTAAGACGATGCGGCTACCCACACCTTGGAGTGGCTGGCCGACGATGGGTGCGACGCAGTATATTTTCGAGTCCTTAAAGGCTCTCGCCGTTTCGCTCGCTACCTGGTTGTGAGGGTACGACATCAGGAGACGGAATACATGGATGAGCAGGGGGGACAGAAGATAGCAGAAGCGGTGTTACCAGTATCTTTAAGAAAGTAAGATAAATAGTGTATACGGATAGCATCGAAATTGGTACCCTCGTCCCCTGTTTGAAGTAGACAGTTCCGGAATCCATGTAGGTTTGTCCATGTGCGTTTGCCGGGTCTATCAGCACGTAGTCAACCAGGTCGTTGTACGTATACCAGATGTGGTATGAAAGGATATGGATTGGATTCTCGTGGGTGAATCAAATCGAAGATGCGCTAGTATCGTAAATGAAAAAGGTAAAAAGATCTTCTCAGTTTTCGCTGTCCTATTCCTACCTCGACAAGTTCTTTTCGATCACTGTTTATTTTGAAGCGGTAAGTCTCAATCTCTTCTTCAGAGAAGCATTTAACTTGGTGGAATATTTCATTACATAGACTGCAAAGTTGACCTTGACGTAACTTTGAATAATTCACATAACTTGGAATAATTCACATAGATCTCGCGCCCAATAATCGCTCCTGCACCAAGAGCAGCCGTCAACCCAAGTCCGAATAGAGCATGCCACTTCTTCGCCGTCAACTGTCCTCGCCATAGCTTGTAGCCGACAAAACTAAGATGCCACAGGTAGAAAAATGCCACCCAGAAAAGAATGGTGTTGGCCTGGTCGTGGTGGGTTTGGGGATAGAATTGGTGGTTGGCGTTGGGCGTGGTGGTTTGGTAAAAGATGTGGGTGTGGAGGTGATTGTGAGGTGGAGTGGAAGTGAGTTTGAGATGGAGGAGCGGAGGACTAGTATAACTATAAGTATTAGTATGGTCTGTTGTGGAAAAGTTCTTACAGGTTAGCACTTTTTAGGTTTAGGTACATTGAACAAAACATGGCTGCAAAAAAAAGTTGTAGTCAGTGCCACTCTCAGGCTCAGCATTTCATTACGAGCGAGTCGCTATCTAATTCTATAAACGAAGAAATACCACTCTAGGCATGTCGTGGGCGAGTCGGAATGCTGTGACATACAGAACACCAGTGAAAATCCCTGGCGGAAGCAACAGCACAAGCAGCAGCGACCCCTTGTCTATCGACATCTTCCCGAAGGATTAGAGGTGGAAAAGATTCTCTACTTGGGCTGACGGGTTGTTAAAGCGGCCCAAAAAAACATCCAGTATGAATATATAAAAACCTTTCATCTATTGCACCTCCAGTCTATTGAAATCATCATCTCTCCGAAAGATCAGGCCTTGTGCCCAAGCAAAGAATGAGTTGTATGTGTTTCACCATAATACTTTTTCCGCATGTCTGCGGCTGGCGCGACACGTTCAGTCTCCTCAGATGGAGTGCTCCCATATTGAGCTCCACTTCCGAATGACGCCATTTTTAGTTGCGATGCAGACGACTTGAATGAATGTACTTGTGGATGTGGGAATACTTCTAGGAGGATCTCGGGGGTCGAAGCAGCGTGCTTGTTTTTCTAGCCTCAGGCTGCTATGCGTCTTCAGGAGGTGGCTGGATTCCTAGAAGTCAATGCTTCGTGGTCGAGGAGGATCAAGGGGCGGTCGCGCTGCCTTCATTTTTCTTTGATGTTGATGCCGAAGTCGCTGAGTAGACCGGATCACCCCCCCAATGCTGGGCTCATGATCGTGCTTCGTGAGGGCTAGAGGACATGATTAATGTTGGTCCTTGTCGTGCTAAATTACCTTCTACTAGCATGCTGTTGCTGACATCTTTCTAAATGTTGATGATATTTCCTTTTCCGTAACAGGTCTTAGCTATTGTTTGTTGTTCCTTCTAAGTAGATGAAGTGCTTTTTTTACTTACTATTTTGCTTCCTACTTTAGCGCGCTATAATTCAGGCTTGCTTTTTTTGCTGGTTGACTTTTGACTGGGAGTAACAGCGACTGACGTTTGCCACTTGAGGCCTGCATCTCTCGCTCTCACGTCAGCACGTGCTCCCCTGGTCCAAGACGACATGCTCATGGCTACGACAAAATGTAACTGTAACTGGAAGTGTGAAGGTCGTGAACAGCTGTAACATTGTTTGCTCCATCTCATTCTACTTTCACTTGTAGTTCAGTCATGTTCACGCTCTTACAACCAGGTATCACAATCATACAGGGACTTCGTAGTGTTAGAGTAACACTGATGTTATTGTTCTTACAGTGTTAGTTTACTAAGTTGTCTCACGTCATCTCAAGCAGTACATCGGCATATCCCAGACGCGTCGCGCATTCCCGTGCACTTTCTCCGGCTGCAAGACTTGGAGACAGTAGAACTAGAAGAAGGTGGAAGTATATTAAATGCTACTCATTGAATTGATGTTGATATCATAAACCAAAAGCTCGATCGTGTGCTTATCGTTATCTGGTTATTGTTCCAACGAATACATAGATCATACAATACGAATAAAGAAGCAGTGGTCGTCGAGGTCGTAAGCTTCCTTTTTACTATAAACTCAGTCATCAGATGAAACAGAAAGCTTCGTAGGTATCTATAACTTGCAATCAGTCTGCTCATAAGAAGACAGCGTCTGCATTCGCGCCAGCTTTGAGTAGTACACGCACGGCGTCAACGTTTCGAAGAGAAGCGGCGTAGTAGAGAGCCGTATTTCCTCGAGAATGGGGTGCATCGACATTGAAGGCGTTGCCGGAACTTGGTGATATGAACGGATCGCAGTTCATCGGCTAAAGGAATAGAACAAAAGTCATGTAGGTGAGGTTAGGGCTCGACTAAGCGAGTACCATGACGAAAGGTAAGAAGTACAAGAAGTATCTAGAAGAAGCGTAAGTACACGAATCATGCTTTTTATTTCAACATGCTTGTGATCCATAGAACTCGTAGTTCCCCTGCCCATCTTCGTCGCCTCGTCGATATGCTTGCGTAAACCGCCTGCATCGTTTTCGATTGCTAGTACTACCACTGTGGACCCGCTAGACTTCATTCGATGTTCTAGCAAAATATGCATCAATTCTGGGGCACCACTTTCGTCAGCAAGCTTTAGCGTGTCCTCTCCGCCTTCGGTCCCAGTGGCGCCAACAACAGCAGGCATGTGGAAATTAGCAAATGCTACTTCGAAATGGTCGGTGGAGCAGCATGTGTGGCAAGTATATGTATGGCGTTGCCCCTGTTGCCATCGTTCATGATGGCCGTAGAGGCGTGGTCTGACAGTTACTTTTTTAAGATCATAAGTAGAAGGTAGAGAGCTAAACTAAAAGGACTACACCTAAACCTAAAGGAGCCTTAATAATCACAGCCAGCGGCACATGTCTCAGCAAGAAAGCAACCACGTGCACCCTGCCATTGAGTAATGCAGCCTGCAATGCCGTACGGCCGAAACCGTCACGAGTGGCAGGGTCAGCTTTCTGCACTAACAGAGCTTCTTCACAGCCTTCGAAATCCCCCGTCGCAGCTGCTCGAATCAATCTTTGGGATCGAGCCAAAGAAACGAAAAAACCACGCACCAGAACAGCGTCTTTTTTTTCAGTGGAGCATGAATGAGGTGATGTTCATGTTGAGTGCATCTTTACAAAGTACAAAACTAATGAGGAAATAAGGTTGTGCTCTACATCATGTTCAGAATCTTCATCACAAGAATATCTTTAAAGTGTTACACCATTATAATACCCATGAAGCAAGTTTTCATGTTGTAGGAACACATCCAGATCATCAACCCCTACTTGTTCTAAAACATTCTTACTCAACTGTAGTGGTCAACATTGTTCTCCTTGCCCACGCAGCCATACAAAATGTTTTTCACTGATCTCGGAGTCAAAAGCGTTTAGTAATGCCGATAAATCACCCGAATCGCGGAAACGCGTTGCCATTATGCGGTACCGATCCACTGCTGTTTTGACCTCTGCACTGATTTAGCTTGGAGTGGATGTGGTGGTAGTGAAGGGTGGCGATGTAGCTTGGAGCAAGTAGTCGAGGGCGGTGGAGAAGATGGATAAAAAGTCGCTATCAACCAAAGTAGAGATATCCATGCAGCTACTTACTTCAGTGCGCTGTAAGTGTAATGAGAGACAAGACTTGAATCAGGAAGGAAAAAGTCTGAACATTTAATGTAGGAACGTTTTTTATCGACCACTTCAACTTCTTCATGTTCTACTCGAGGAGAATAGTATTCGTTGTGCCTGAAGAACATAAAAGTTGTATTCATATTATTTATAAGTTTAAGTATTTCATTAATCATTCCGATTCCATGCTAGACCACCGTTATGGGAATGGGATACTGAATCATTCCTGCTCATACCCATAAAGTATCCCTCGCAGCTGCATTCATAGACGCTACCACGGACTCGAAAAAGCACCATCCGCGATCCAAATACTTGGTCGCAGATTGCGCATCGCGAGGCACCTCATCAATGATGAGTACTTGTGAGGTCAGGAATATGCGACCTCTTTTAGAGCTAGTTTCTTCATCTCAAACACACACTATCCAGAGGACACAAGTTGAGGGTAGTACGCTGTCTTGATGTGCTACCTTTTGTCTGGAGGACCTTCTTCCGACGCTTAGAGGACATGAGTCGAGAACGAATAATGAAAGCGGGTGACCTCATGGTTAAGGCTAAGTGTCGGAAGAAAGGTAGCACATCAAGACATCGCGCCACTGCATCAACGTGATCTCCCTACGGACTTCATTGATCAAAGAATCACCTGCATACGATGTCTTGATGTGCTACCTTTCTTCCGACATTAGCCTTAACCATGAGGTCTCCATCTAGAGCTTTAGCGAAAGTCCTTCTCTGCTCTGCTGTCCGATCGTCGCGGCCGTCTCTCCAGTGGACTTGCGGCAAGCACATGTAGTCCACAAAAATCACGTCCTTGCGATCGAGCGGGAGTTAGAAAGAGTGCAGGAAAGATGGACATGGACGCGTTTGGAGGAAAGATCACACGTCCATCTTTGTGAGGAAAGATGGACATGGATTCCTTCTCATTTCCACACACGCGGGGCAAGAATAAAGATTGAGTATCTTGAAGACGACTATGTCGACCTATGGTGATATGAGTTTGACGACCATAATAGAAGAACATAGTGACTTCTATGTATTATGTCTGGCTCTTTTGGCGAGTTTGAACAAAATGAAGAATTCCATAAATCAACTGTCCCCTAAGTCTTTCTAGCTTTGCACGAAGGGTTTCGACCTGTATGCCGCCAGGATCGGGCTCATATCGTGCCAACCATGGATGTGTCAATGCAAAAAGACTGAAGTTAGAACCAACAATGAGGCGGATCTTTCGTTAATATTTGGGGTTTACGTAACTTTGACTCTGAACAAGAATGATGAAATTGAAAATCCAGATAAGAACGTTTTTTTCTTTGAGAGTACCACTATTAGGTCTACCTGCGGCATAAGTTTGGCGTCTTGCGGGTTCCCAAATGCGTTTGCAGGAAGATCCTGGCATCTTGGCATCCTTTCTCCATCTTTTAGGACGTCGAGAACGTACGAGGTGCGGGAGTATGAAAGTAGGAAGGACGAGGTCGTGAGTGCGGACGAGAGACGAGTGCAGACGAGTTATTGAGTATTTCTGTATCTTGAGAGATTCTTCCTCATGATTTTGATGTGACCAATTTTCGTAATAAATCATTAAAAAAGACGAGTACGTACTTACGTATACAGTTCGCCATAAAATCCACACTATGCCGGGATATTCATCTATGGGCTTGCCCTGCGCGTCGGCTGTTGGCACGTCTCCTCCGACACCGTCACAGACACCCTCATCCCTGTTTGCCACAAGAAAAGGGTCGCTTGGTTTTTGGACTCGTATAACCGTCTGGTGCGAATGCGATGGATCTTCTAGCCGTACTACAACAGCACTGCTAGAGGGGGCTTTCGTCGTCCCGCGTCCCATCCCCGATGTCTTCGCACCTGCGGGCTTGAAGATTGCCGCTTTTTTCTGGCTTGTAGTTGGGGAACTCATTCCTTTTCTTACAGTATTCTTTCTGCTCGTCGTAGTACTAGCTACTAAGGCTTGTATAAAAAATCATCTTAAAAATCTTCTGGAAAATGAAGGTTCCACTTGTACAGCAATTATTAGTTTGTGTATTGCAATGTTCTGGAAAAAATTGCGCATCTCAATGTTCTCGAATTAGGATATTAAGAGAGGATGGAATTCCCCTAATTGGTTTCTCAAAATCAATGGCGTACTAACTTTGGAAACAGCTGCTCATACCATGACTGCGTCCATGGATGCGTTATGGTGCAAATATACTGAGCTGAGAATGAGGATCATACTTGCGTCATTTGATGGTCAATGCAAAAGGACTCAAGGACGAAAAGTGGAGTGTGAATGATCTCGAAGATCGAAATGTTTTCGTTTTCGATCAGAAGCTCTACTTCGCCTGTTTCCTTAGAGACTCCTCCACTTATTCTTCAATGTTTATCTTCTTCAGCAGAAGCTCTACTTCACCTGTCTCAACAGCGCAAAATGCCTCTTGCCGTAGAGGGTACTCCTCAACCAGTCCCCACTATTCCCCGCATCGTCATCGTCGTATTCGCCTACAAACATTAGAGTCGGTGCCATCTTCTAGATGACTCTGAGGAGAGTAGATACCTTTTCTCAAGAGCTTACTTTACTACTTTCTCATCTTGTGCTTCTTCTCGTGTACTCGCCATAGATACACATCGTGCCATCGTGCTTCGTTTCTCGAGGATGCGAGCAAAAGCCGCTCCCGGATCCACCCGGGATGATCGGGGAGATTAATGTTGTTTGTGGTTAGAGGATGATCAGGCAAGTTAATGATATTTGGGCTTAATAGAGGACGAGAAACAACAACAAGATCATTTTCATTCAAAGTAGATAATTAATAGAGGACTACGGAACAACGTGGCAACTCACTCAAAGCTACCTGGTTCCGTAGCGACCCGAGTAGAGACGCGGCAGCTAAATAAGACCGACTGCTCCGGGCGTGAGTAACGCCTATGGCAAACTAAAGGAAGAATAAACATAAACTTAAAATAAATTAAATCCAAAGTAAGGGTGTCTGATCGCTATTACTGTCATGGTATGAAGTAGTCCCTGAGTTTGTTTGTCATAACAGAAAAAGAAAGTCTGGTTGGCAATATTTTTCGATGAGAGCCCATTCCATCGCCATGGCTGCTGCTTTTCCGTCGAACAGTATGACAAGTGGCAACCCCGTTTCTCTAATAACCTCACATGCTTGAACGATCGGCACGGAGCCGGCATGGGATTAGAAGTGACTCATTGAAAGTGTCAGACATTTTTTTAGACGAAGACCATATTTTTTTAGACGAAGAGTGACTGAGTCATTGCGGGACTAGAAGTAAGACGAGTATTTGTACTGGAAGAAGAAATAGCGAATTCGAGTGATATAATTTCTGCATCTTCATGTTCATCATCATCTACTTCTCGGGCAGGGTATGCAAGTACATGGCACAACTACTAGTAACCTTCATCAGAGGGTCCTCTGTGCTGTTTTCACATAATAGAGTGCTAGGAGTACTACTACGAAGCACTAAGGTCCGACAAAATTGGACTCATGTCATGTCATGGCGCCTCTTTTAAATTTAAAGCAATGCAAGTCTTTGTATGAAGCCATTCAGTTACGTAGAAGTACCTCCTATGGAGAGCCATGCATTAGAGGTAGGTTTTTGGTGTTCGTTTATCCCGCTTGTTATGGCTGTCCCCACCTAAGGGAGAGAGCCATAACAAACGGTAACAAAAGCACCTTTGACCTACCCTTAAATGCATCTATTTTTACGCACAGCCTTTGATTGACTGTGTCATCGATCCATAATTGGTTTTCCTGTCAACATCTGAACCCATTCCAGCAGCCACGTCTTCTCCTTTCACGCTCGAACGCTGCAACAGTTTTTCAATCCATTCACGCTGAGAGTCACTCCAATGGGATGCTGTGTAGGTGTAGGCATACGGCGCCAGTTATGACAGGAAAAAGTGTACTCACCATACCCTAGCTACTCAGCATTGGAGTAAGTGTTACCCAGCAGTTGGAGGGGGTACTCTAGCTACTCATCATACTCTAGCTAGGAGTAAGTATTACTCAGCATTTTGTTCGTAGCACGAAAGTAGCTCGTTATAATCTTCTGAGTATGACGAGTTATGACTACACTTTATCCTGTCAACATACCAATTTCTCAGATATCAGTCGTGGATAAGGTGCTCCCCAGATCATGGCTCCAGAAACTTTCACAATGTCCTGCTCTTGTTGTTCATGAGGAAGTCGTGCATCTACATTGAATACTTCTTCTTTCAGATAGTCTCGTAGAGAATCGGTGGTTTTCATTTTCGAAGTTGATGTTGGTGTTGATATTTCATCAGCTTTTGCATGTGGCCGTGGATCATGTGCTTCTCCATCTACTAGTGGATGTGCCTCTACGAGCCTGTCCTCCGGTCCCATGGGCCAATCATGGAAAAAGCGTCGACTTTGCTTATCTGTCTTTAGAAATAGAAGCACCACAATAGAAATAGAAGACTACAAATAGCTACTCAAAAGTGAGAACTCTACTCCTATTCGTTTGCATTTGCGAACCACGTGACAACTTACGCTGCCTGATTCCGTTGCGACCCGAGTAGAGACGCGGCCGAGCACCGTTAGTATTGCTCTCACATGTTAATACCTAAAAATGAGAGAAAGATTAACCCATAATGTCTTCAACAGGTCAATGAACTTTTCGTTTCCTGCGACCGACCCCGGAGACATCATCGAACTCAGCAAAGACTCCAAAGGAGCTTGATAACTTTCTCGCTCCGTTACGCTTAATGAGGAAGCACTTGATGTAGTGGTACCTGCGTCTGATGTTTTAACTACATCTCCAATCTTAGTGTCCGGTGTGTCATCTTCCGAAGCATCAGCGTAGACCCCGAGCTGCCTGGTCCTAGTCCTTCTTGCTTCTTCTAAGTCGTCTATTCTACGCAGCAGGGTGTCTTCTTTTGTGATGTGGCTCCTATTACTACGTCCACCCGTCGATGGTGGTTCTCGTTATTAGAAGTCCGTCGAGTAGAACTTGGAGAAATGCTGAAGGCAAATGCACGCCTTATAAAGGCTCTATCAGGAAATGAATTTGAATTAAATGGAATAAAATCAACTTTTTTCGAGGAATTGGAGTTTTTGTTTAGGAATTGAGCTATGAATACGGATTTGTCTGTTGTTATTCAAATTGGAAGGACTTCTGGTTATTGAAATCAGAAAACTCAAATGAAATTACCTGCTAAAGTGATTTCTCAGATGACAGTGAATCCAGTACAAATCACAATCAGCACAGTAGAGAAAAAGTCACTAACGAGAAGCCACTCTCTCATAATCACTAACCAGATCGATCCAGTGCAATGCACACGATCCAGGATGTTCTAAAAAGTAGCGTGCGTCGTTTCTGTCGCTATATTCAGTCAGTCTGCACAAAGATGCTGCACGTGGATACACCAAACTCTCTACATTCCATCTCTCTGACTCAAAACCTAGGTAGAAGAGTTTTTTCTTGGAAGTGGGATCATGTTGTTCTGCTTCATCCTGTACTTCTTCTGCATGTAGTCCTCGTTCTCCTTCTTCCTTCCCAGCTGAGAAAGCGTTCGCAGCCGCGCGCCAGGTAGCGGACAAGTAACCCCCCCAACCTAGAAAAACGTCGAAAACAACGAGTCCTTTTTTCCCGTCCCGAGCTTAGAGATGTGGGTAAGGTTAAGATTTCATCATGAATCTCCTTATGCTAGTAGTTGTCCGTAGCACTCGAGGACTCCATAAGATGATCTCCAAATCCACCACTTGACAAATGTTATTAAAAAGACAGTTGTATGGGCATGCCATGAAGATGTTGACTCTTAACTATTACGCAGCATCGAATCTGTGATACAGTGCACAGGTCTGTAGGCCATTGCAATTTGCGTATCCGTCTCCATACAGGACAGGAACGAGGCTTCTGCGTTGTCTAGATGCATCCTCTGAGCAGGTGTTGAATCAGCACTAAGAGCAGCACCGTGAGCAGCAATAAGTAGGGACCATGTCCCTATGGTGGCCACAAGGTGGGCGACCCAAGAAAGAGGACGGTTGGTGCTTGTGTGGGTGTGCAATTTCGTCATCATTTTGGTCATTTTCGGTTTCGTGCAGAAAAGAGAAATACTAGATCTGCTACAGGAGGAAGCTCCCACCTCAGATGAAACGAAAGTTAGTTATACTTGATTTCTTAGCTGCATCACACTGACACTGAGACAGATCAAATCTGATCTACGTTTCCTAGATACACTTGACGGCATGTGATTCAAGATAACAACTTCAAGGAAACTCTCCTCTCCTTCTGCGCGCACCGAGAAAGGAACTCCAGCTTCTCAATATGTTGCCACATCCCCTTCTTCTTCTTCTACCATTCTTTTTTCGCTTCAATCATTATTGCATAATATTTTTCTACCTTCACAACTCAGGATCATGAGAATCCTGCCGTACAGCAATTCGCAAACTTTTTAGTATCTGCTTCGCACCTGCTCTGGTGGTCCTTGTCCTATAGCTAAAATCAATGTCAGAAAGGCTCAACCTTGAATGAAAAAGACATAGAAGTGGGAGGTGTGATATTCAATCTTGATGCTAATGTAGAGAAGTAGTGTGATATTCAACCTCCACCTCCAGCAGTTCTGGAGCCACTACTACTCTACTACTACTCATGCTAATGTTCTAGTTTAACTTTTCTAATGTCATAAAAACAACCATGGCGGTCGATGTTTAGATTTATTTTCACGTGACGACGAGTCCATGTCGTGAAAGCCTATGGCTCGCACTCGCTTCTGCCTAACCCAGTTCTAACTCGCTCCAGCCTGTTGTCCAATGACTCCAGCTTGCGAAAAAACGATGATTGTCGCATAGATAAACCCAATGACTGCAGCGATCACCTTGCAAATCAAGATGTATTTGGCTAACGTCCAGGCACTCTTAACTACGCCAGTCAGCGTGTTCATCACGGAAGAATCGGAGATTAGAAACCTCTACTACAGGGGTCGTAGAGTGTCGTCGGGCTGAGGTAGCTGAAGATCTAAAAAATGCAAATTGTGATCTACTAAATCTATCATCCAAGCGCCAGTGAAGAAACGGCAAAGACGTACTTAGACACTAGAACGAAGTACGTTCGAGATAGAGATTCTGAGTAAACCTTGAAAAAGCCATAACAGAAACGGCGACTGTCTTCCGAGTAGCAATGTCGGATCTGCAGCATCTAAAAACGGCCGCTCGTTTGGCTCGGTTCTTGCCGACCCAGGTAATTTGGTAATGGTGTCCTCAACAACGTCTTGAGCAAATATCGAAACTTGCAGATTGACCAAAGCCCTCACCTTTCCAGGAAAATGGGGCAGAGTCAAACGCAACGGAAAAGAGGGGAAAACGACCGCTGTGTCTTCGATTGAATTGGACGAAGGCTTATTGTTGAATTGGATGTCTTCGATTGAATTGGACGAAGGCTTATTGTTGAATTGGAAGAAGAATCGACATTGTTGATCAATCTTCTTCTTCATCTAGTTGTATATCAGTAAATGCATCTTCAAGTCGTGCTCCAACTACTTGGTAAAAAAAGTTACAGCACTCACAATCACTATCACAGATAAATGACCAAGTAGAATTATCTTTTTTATGCCTTAATATTATTCCCACTGCCTCCTCCAGCCAAAACAACCCTATTCTCAGTTGGTGTGCTAGCCCTGGCAGCCATTAACTTGAAGTCTTCGCCAAAATCCAAGAGGGCTTCTCCAATGGGTTCATTTTCAAAAATCAGATTGTTCGCATAAGCGTAGGAATGAAAGAACAAGAGGGTACAGGGGAACAAGGTTGGGTGGAATACATAGTTTTACAGTTATTTTGGGGACAAAGCAGCGTCTCTTTCTGTGCTTCTGCTTGTTCTTCGGTATGGTGAAGAAATACGCGCCCGGATTCGCGTGTAGTCCTACTTGCTTGTAGGGCTACTTGCTTGTAGTACTACTTGATGTAGCTTTTAGTTTCTTTATGATGAATGGACTAGACGTAGACGGTGTTTAACAAGAGGACCAGCAAACTATAATTTGGGATCTTCTCACTACTTTTCTAATAACTACTCCCTCATAAGTAACGCTGACCGTCGCGTTCCTCAGATCCAAAGGCAGATCCGGAAAGACAAGTCGCCAGTTAAACACCGCTCTGCCATCGAAAGGTGCAACACGTCTGTGAACATCCGTTGTCTCTTCGATAACTTCGCCACTGTCTAGAACCATCCTCGCCACCACCGACACATTCACCTGATCGCGTTCGCCCTCTAAGCCTAAGCCAAAAATCAAATCAGTCAGGTCGAAAACGGCAATTTGCAACTGCAAGGTGTGGAATCGATGCTGGGTTCGAAGTAAGACGTCACCGCCAGCCGCGCCGGAAGAGGGATTTAGAGAGGTGACAGTAAGTATTTGTGAAAGTCTAATATTATCGCGGTTACTTATAGATGAAGGAGAGAGTTTGCGTTTGCGAATGCGAGCTACATCAGAGTTGTTGTAACTTGTAGTTTTCCGCAAAATGAGATTTTTGAAAATATTTTTCCTCATCATAAAAGTCCCGCCTCACTCGTCACTTGCCCCATTCCACCAATGGCACTCGAAGATCTACTGCTTTGCAGTAGTCTACTCATGTTGTTGACCACTTCCGTTCTCAAAATGAGACGACCTGTCGCCAGACCCCGTGAAAAGCAAGAATACAGAGGCCGCGACTCAAAGGCTGCTTTCCCGAGCTGCATCTCTCGTCGGCATCTTGCATGCAGGAATCGATCTTCTAAATCCACGAAGGTAGAACCAAGCTCCATGGTGGATGGTTTGGTGTTTGCTGCTTCTTGTGCAGAAGCGGTTGAGACACCAGCAGCGATACTCATTTTTCTTTTATCCCCATCATTATCGTTCACATTCTCATCTCCACCAGCTTCTGCTAGATCTTGGATCTTCTTATTTTTGATTGTTGCCGTAGTCATAGAAGAAGATGAAGACCTGTTTCCACGGATAGTACGTGTAGTCTTGGTACCTCTACTATCTGCGTCTGCTACTTGTTCCTGAGAACCTCCGTCTCCCCCAGTTACCAGGTTTCCTATTGCGTTAGAAATGCCTGATAACAGGCCACCACCAGAAGAATTGTCTCCACTAGTACTGGTTGTAGGTCGTGGTCCTTGTTGATTCGTAGAAAAAGTACTTTGTTTATCTGCGTTTCCAGCTGTCTTTACGTCTGCTTCCTCTGTACTTTCGTTTCTTGTCCTCTGCTGAATGGGGTCGTTTTTTAGACGAAACATCTTCTAGATCTATTCCTCTTCGGCATCGGTTTTTAACTTCTTTAGCCTTCTCACAAAGCACAGAGCAGATGCAACTACAATAAATATGTTATAACATGGCTCATCCCCAGATGTCCTTGATTCTATAATTATAATATGCTTTTTGAGGGGTGGTCTACTGTCAGATCAGAGAATAAAGCCATAACTCAGCTCCACCTGCCTTACCCGCACCACCACCACCTCCACCACCCAAGAAATTAAAACTGTCCCACACAGAGCCGCCTTCGCCTTCGTTTGCTTCCACATGTTCTAGAACCGAAATCCTCGCAACAGCATCCCTAGGAAACTCACAGTCACTCAACATTACAGCAGAGCGGTACTCGGGAGTGTGCCATGCGATGCCATTTGGACAAAGAAGATGCTCGAGAGATGAAAGTTTAAGGAAAGGTGGGGGATGAGGGGAGGAGGGGGTAAGTGAGCGGTATCTTCAGTTGAAAGAAGGCGGCCGTAGAGCGGACTGGCTCGTGCAGTAACAAGGTTGTTCGTAGAGAACAAGACTACTTGTACTAGTACGTATCTACTAGGTATTCACGGTTATAAAGAAATCGAATTATTACTTCGGAAAAAGAACGTGAAGTAGAATCATTTTATTGATAGCATCACTTGTCGTGCCATACCCTTCCACACAGATGAATCTGCACAGACGTGCGAATCTGATTTGTACTGTAAGGAAGCAGGTCTGCTTGCAACACCGAGAGGCGAATAGAGAGACTTTTCGCAGTCGCTTCTTGTCTAAGTTCCGCGATACGGAGGTCGAAGAGCTCTCGCTGTCTACGATTGTAAGCAGAAGAGTAGGAAGACTCGCGTTCGTCCACAACCTGTTGTTTCTTCCTCATCTTGTCTCCGTCCACTGCTTTGCGTTCTTCCTGCTTTTTCCTGTTTTTGATTACTGGGGCAAAGACACAAAGGGCATATTTCAGGCTTCCTGCAGGCTGAGGACCGGTTGAGCCTCCAGAGGACAGATACAGTGGCACCGTGTCATACAAACGTCCCTCTCCGTCCAACGTGTGCTCTAGCTCTTCTGGCTGGTACCACGTGCTACGATCGGCTGAGGAGAAGTGACCAAAGTCGAAATTCGAGGAGAACTGATCGAAATTGGCTTTTTGAAGCAACGCTGAAGCAGATTCGTTTTGTGCCAGACGAGTTGTCTGTGGTTGAGAAGAACTACTCCTCGTACCAGTTGTGGTCGTGATATTTCGACTTGCACCTCTAGAGGATCCACCTGTAGTTGCAGGTGTACCTCCACTCAGTGATACAGAAGACGAACCTCTACTCATCCTCCTAGAAGATGTCATGTTTTGTCGTGGTCGTCGTCCACTTGCTCCCGTTTGTGGCATAGAGATTCTACTTGACTGCCTGTTTGGTGTTCGTCCTTCTCCTTGCATAGAAGAAGTGCTCCGCCTTCTCATAGGGACACTTTCAACCTCTGCTTCGATTGGTCCTCCCCCTCCAACATCAAATGCATTTTGATCTGGATCTATATCCATCGTGAGCTCTTCTAGTGCTAACGTCTTGGCATCGAAGTAATTCTTGCCGTGATGCACTACATGTTTGACTCCCGCTGTTGTGGTGTGTGAATGCATTCTGTGATAGTGCAGTGGCTCGTCTATAGCGTCTTCTAATGCAGGAGACTGCATCAAAGTTTGTTCCGTATCTAGTAGAGGTGCCAATCTTCGTACTCGCTTCTGCCTTCTCTGCTGTTGGAAAAGCTTTCTGTGACTATGCTGATGTTCAGCTTCCTCGTCTAGCATGGCGCTCATGTTCCTTTTGCGCCACCTCTTACTTCTGCTTCTGGATTCTAGTACTTTCAATCTGAGATAAGCAGACCGTGGATCCTGGGAACGTAGGAAACCTTTTTCAGGCCTGCTCTCTTCTCCATCCTCGTCACTGCTTGAAGAGGATGTTGAAAAATCCCATTCCCCTTCTAGACGTCTAGTAAGTGCTGTACTACTAGTACTTGTCCTCATTGTCGAACTTTTACTAAAAGTAAATGCCGACCGCAAAAATTGCCGCGTTTCTGGCGTGTGCCATGGGATGTAGGGATTGATGTGGATAGAACCATGCGCAGTCCCGCGTCGTACAGAGGCCGCATGTGTGTTTCCGTTTCTCTCATCGTCATCGTCGTCATCCACCTGAAAGTTTCTCTCCACAATACGAACTTTTCGTAGTGGAGGTGCAGACACCCTTCTTGAAACAACGCCACGTCGTCCTCCCGATGAAGCACCAACTGCACGATCTCCATCAGCGAACCTGCCACTACCCTGTAGTTGATCTCGATCGCCATCATCTCCATCGATATCCACACTAGCATAGTCCTGCTTAGAAGGAGGTTTGCCTTTTCTGCTCTTCTTCCCATTACCAGCTATAATCTCATCCCCTGTTCGTGTTCCTTCGGGAAGGTCTCGTCCTGCTTGGGGGTCTGTTGACTCTGGGTCGTCACCCCCACCTCCAAAGAAGTTTCCAGCTAGGAAATTTTGAAACATACCGCCTGGTGCACCGGCTTCAGGGGGAGTAGAGGAATCTTGATCAATTTGTTCAGGGACTGGAGATGTGCTCGTATGTGTTGTGACTTTACCTCTAGTGCCTGTGCCTGTTTTGTTCCGTCCTCCTTCCCTGTATTTCTTGGGGTACTCCCCCGATGACGCCTCCTTATGCTTGTCCCCTTTGTTGACTGCGCTTTTAGTCCTTCTATCCTCGTCAGCATTGTCATCCACAGACTCCTGTCCTTGACTCTCTTCACCAACGACTAGACTCTCAAAACCTGCAGCTAAAGCTCCGAACATGCCTGTTGGCGACGCTAATGGCATCTCCATTCGATGTCTACCCTCAAGAAACCGCGGGGAACGACATGACATGGAGGTATTTTTATTTCGCGGTCCCTCACCAGTTGTTCTGCTGCTTCCTCGAGGAGCACGGGGACCACTGGAACTGCTACTACCACCATACTGTATCAGGGGATTGATACCATGGCAATTGACCTCCTGAGGATGATCATGTTCTTGTTGCGTCCGCTGTTCAGCTTCTCTTTCGTGATCACGCGGTGATGGATACCGTAACACTGGACTACCCAGATTAGACCTAGTACCTACGCCAGCTTGTTCAGCTGTCACGATATCATCATCCTCCGTTATATGAAAAGCAAATCTCAATCTGTCATCATTATCATGCTTTTCATCTTTAGATGAAAGTGAAACTTGATAATGATAACAGATAACTTTCGTTTCATACGTTATTAGTCTTGTCGCAGGAGAGTCTCCACCTACGTCGCCAGCTTGTTCAGCTGTCACAAGATCATCATCCTCCGTTACTGGTCTTGTCGCACCTTGTTCTTCATCTTTCTCCGTGACTACGTCTAGTACAATACGATCATTTTCAGCCATCGCGTTGGTTATTCCGAATCCGAACGGCGCTCCACCCACACCACCAGCTACACCACCACCTGAAGACAATCTCGTAGATTCATGCGACGTGCTATTCCGCAGTTGCATCTTCAAACTCTGTCTGCGGCTTTCTGCCTTGTCCTGTCCTCCTCTACCTCCCAATGAGGCACGTAATGATCCTCTTGATGATCCTCGAGAGGCTCTACCTCTTGATCTGGATTCTCGTACTGCTGAAGTAGTAGATCCCCTACTTACTAGCGCAGAAGTAGCGCTGTTGCGATTTTTGTTCTTTGACGAGGCTTTCCCAGTACTAGAAGTTGTACCCTCACCATTTATTTCACGCAGTGCTACCGGCAGAGGCACAGCGTCGTCCGAGACATCAGCGAGTTCTACTGGCGTCAACGCACTCAGCTGCCGCAACAGAGACATATTACGGCCATAGTCTTGTTCCCTTTCTAATTGTCCTCTGGACAGCAATAGTGGCGCGGCGTCGAGCACTTGAACAGTCAGAAAATCCTGAAATTCGCGCACACGTGGCAGCAGTAATTCGGCTTCGAAGTCGCAAAGATAGTTGAAACAACTTGCGTTTTGAGGAACTGCGGTCTTCCTCTTGGCACCCATTCCGTTTTGTTGAAGTAGTCTGCCACTCGTCGAAGACAAATTTGCAACGGGCGACCGGGCAACTAGCGCGTTAGTGCTGCTCTGTCGGATTTCTAGGTAGGGAAGCAACGTATTTGTGTTTGTGTTATTTGCACCAGTACTAGAAGACGCAAAGGACGTAGACGAGGATCCAAGGTCTGTGCCATGAAGTCTTATCCCCAGAACAAAAAGCCGTACCTTACAACGCAATGTGCCAGCCCATAGGTGTCTTTCAGGGTGTTCATGCAGTTTTGTCCAATCAAACTTAGCACCTGATGAAGAACTCTCAAGTTGTTCCAGGTCGTCGCCTTCTCTAGACCTACTTTGTTGTTCGCTAGAACTTGCTTGATCATCTGACTCACCAAGGACTAGACTCCCTATACCTCCAGACTTTCCGGCATCACGACCATCAGCATTGTCTTGTTTGTCAGGAGGTGCAGCGCATTCCCAGCTTAGCAAAATACGGGTTCGCTGGTTAGTTGAACGACACTTCATCCAGACAGGCATGCCAATCCAACGGTATGGCACTGAGTTGCCAGATATTTCTGCAGTAGCAAGGATTTCTGTCAAGTTTTCAGCCGCATTTTCGTGCTGTCTCTGCCTGTGCCTGTGCGTCTTGACCATCGCAGGAGCTTCATCTTGGTCATAAAAATTCCCTGACCTTCCTGAGGACCCTGATGACACAAAAGGATGATCTAGCAGCTGTATGCTAATCGGTGGCCACAGGCTACGGTCGAGCGGCAAGTCAGTACGTACCTCAACCACTTGACCGAAAACCGGATTTGTTGTTGCAGTGCAAACGTGAGAACTGCCTAGAGCACCGCCACAAGCTACGCGAACAGCGACATTGGGTAAATTACCCACGACCCCTTGCTCTAGTACTGTTTCCCCTTCTGATCCTTGTCCACCTAGTTGCACATCATGGTGCCTTTTGATCCTCTTCATACAATTGCCACTTCTCAGAGGTACATCGCATGCCTGGAAGAGGAAGAAGCGCAGCAAATGCGGCATAAAGCGCAGCTCTGTCGGCGCATAGCGATTAGACCGCTGCCTACCATTTAACAGTTGCAAACCCGCATGGTTTGCAGAATACTCAGTCTCAACGATCTCTGCTGATGCCAATATCCTTGCACCAACGTCGCCAGGTCGTTTGAAGGATAGCATGTCGAGCCAGCGGGGCTCGGTTGGTGACTGAACTGCATTTGCGCGTGGCCCTGGTCGACTACTGCTTCCTATGCTGTTCTCTACTCCAAAAGCGTAAGCAGATGATGTTCCACCCTTGCCTCCTCTTTCCGCTGCTCCAGTTCCCACTCCTGTCGCGACTACAACAGGAATTTTGACAAAACACACAAGCTCAGATATATGCCTGCGTTGCTCAATTATAGCTATCCTTTCCTCGTCTTGCTGTCCTCCAAAGTTCTGAAAGAAGCCGAAATCGAAACCCTCCTGCTGTTCGTTGTTGTTGTTGAATGGTTCTGGTATTTGGTAGCCTGAGTTCGATCATAAGGAAAACAAGAAGAGAATCCTTGTGAGCAAAATCAGGTTACCAAATACCAGAGCCATACAATTGCCCTTTTGTTCTCGCTGCGTGAGTTCAAGCTCATCCTCATCATCCTCCGCCATTGGCGGCGAGACTACGCGGACAAAGAGATAAACGTCTTTCTGAAGAGGCCTCCTGAAGTCGTCCATCTCAACTAATATCGTTGGGATGCGGCCTCTCTCGCTGGTCAGATCTAAGAAGTGCTCGCCTCGCTGTCTTACGAAAGGCGGTGTGTTTTCGGGAGTGACCGGCTTCCGTTTCGGTTTTGCCTTTTTAGTGCTCGTTGTTGGCGCAGATGATGATGACATGAATCCCTCAGCAGATCTTGTTTTGCTGGAAGAAATGTTACTCTTGGAAGTGGAGGCACCAGCGCGTTGACCTTCTTTCACACTGCCCATCCTCTCACCTTCTTCCCTCGCCTCAAAACTCCCATCCGCGTGAAGAATATGGTTCGTGTCCAGAGCCCATTCCTGGTCTAGGTGCGTTTCAGACACCACAGCCCCACTCGCGGAGTGATGTACGCCACTACTAGCTGGAAGGGCGTAGTAGCTTGGCCATGCGCGGACAACATCTTCACAGTGTGCCTTAGATGATCTTGCCGCTATTCATAGAGAGAGCACATGCATCTTTCTTTGACGTATTTTTCCCGTTGAAAATGAAAGCGCGCTATAGATGCCTCAGCCTCCCTCCTAAGATGAACTACAGTAAAAAGCCTTAAGTACCTCAAACACGATTTCCAGCTTCTCCTCTGGCTCATCCAGTAGGAAATCTAACCGGTAGAGATCTATCATCAAGGCGCATCTCTTTCGAGGTTTCGCATGCGTGTGATGGTGATGCATTGTATGATCCGCGCCACCACTAGTGTTAAGGGTTGCGATATTCTTGCATTCCTCAGATCATCCTTGATCATTTTCGTACTGAAACACGAGTGAAGGGTGGTAGTGAAGAATGCAACGTCGAAAATCTTAACACTAGTGGTGCCCCAAGCCTGCTGCGTCCCAAATAACGTAGACACGCTGCCAGCAATACTGCCGAATATGCCTGCAGAATGAATGAACATGAAGGACAGGGCTTCACTTTTAGTAACTGTCATATGTCATGTCACCTCAGGTACTACATGGTCAAGTAGTTAAGATGCCTCTTGGAATTGTTTACATCAAGAAATCTTAATCTACCCACAAACAAATAACTTTGACTTTCTTAGAACATTGTCATTACGACCTTAAGAAATCTAAACGGAGGACGAAAGACCTCGACACCCTTTTCAACATAATGACTCGCGCGTGCTTCTTGACTTGATGACCCAGCACGACGCGTCCGCGATTCCACTCGAGCGGCTGACAGGAGAATGCTGCCCTGCGAGACGCATCGATACTCTGTCTCAAACCGCAGCAGCCTTTCTCTGTATTCCCGATCCATTCGCGCTCGTGAGAGACATTGTGGTGGAAAGTCGAGTAAGCGGATCCACGTAGGCGGAAGTGTAGGCAAGTCGGCAAGTAAAGATCGAAGTTCTAGACTGGTTTTGTTCACTTCGACCAAAGGTTCATCGTTCTCCAAACTAGAAGAGGTCAATGCCTTAGCACCTTGTAGTTCATCATTGATTTCTATTTCATACCCATCTTCATCTAGAGCCTGTTCATCTTCGTTGCCACCTGCGATCAGGTCATTCACCGCGTCAAGGTGAAGTAGGCTTCCCACTTGAGCAGTGAGAGACCCCAGATGAGGTTAGAGGTCGTTTTACCGAGTGCCAGCCATCAAATTGATTGATTCTTAGAGGGCTTAGTTGTAGGACAAGGGTATTAGGTTAGGCTCGTAGTTGAAGTTCGTTCAAGTTTGTCAGTTGAAACGGTGCTCGTGCTCGTGCTACGGCTACCAGATTCCCCACAACTAAGTACGCACTTCTAGTAGCACTTAAGTGCTAAGACATGGACACGCTGCCATAAACACTTCCCCCAGCTCCCCCAATGTCGCCAAACGCTCCACTAAACAACCCCGTTTCCGACGAGCGGTCGTGCAAAAGCCGTATTGTAGCAGTCGAAGTCCATGGCGAGACCAGGAAGGGGAAGGACAAGGAGCGCGACCACACAGGATTCCCAGTACCGAATTGAGCAGCTGTCCGGTCCTTTGGCACTCCGGGAACCTCCACTTCCACCACAGGGTTGATCCGGAATGAGGGAGGCGTAAAATGAAAAGTAGAACTGGAGTAGAATAAAGGAAAAGCAAAAGTGTTGTTGAAGACCAAGTAGCCTCAAATCTTGAGAGGTTCATGTTGAGGTAGAGGTACATGTAGTGTTCATTTTCAGCGAGTAGTTAAAAGTGTACTGCAACTACACAAGCTTGTGAGTCTTGAGAGGTGCACGTTGTAGACGTTGTACATGTAATCATGATCATACACAGCGACGTTGGTTGAAGCGTTGCCATTCAAATATTCGACCATTCACATTCTCATTCTTCCTTTTCCTTCATAAAGCTCTTGGCCATCATCATTTTCCTCCTCGTACTGCTGATAGTGTTCTTCAGAGAGGTTTAATCTCAAGTTTCTTCCCTCAAGGACATTTATCTGCAGCTCTGGGACGTCGAGTGGCGCGCTTGACGGGGTCTCAACGATCCGAAGACTCAGGTCCGCTTTGGCATTGGACGGATTAGAGGAAGGTTGTCGTGACAGATACAAGTTCATGATTTGATGAAATGACATTCTTCACATTGTAATAGTTGAAGATATTGGAAAAAAGACTCTACTAAACTACAACAGTAGATTTGCTTTCACCTTCTGGCTCGTGAAAAAGATTGCTGCAATCAACATTAATAACGGGGTTCCGTTCATAACATTCCCTCCCTGTCGATTTCCTCCAAGTAACAGACTCGGCGTTGCCCTTGCTGGCAAAGTGTCATGTCGTGCTGAGTGCACAGCGCAAGATACTTGAACCCAACCACGCTGCTCTACTACTGTTGATCCACCTCCTACCAACGAAACAACGGGCAACCATTGCCTCTGCAGTGGGCGTGCCCGAATTTTTGCTATTTCCAATGCTACTGAGCCTATAAATTTAGAGCTCACCCACCCTAATCCTAATCGTAATCCATCTCGAGATATTCCATCCTGAGATAGCGTCACTTGTTTCTTCTTGAAAACGTCTCTTTCTATCTAATTCTGAGATGCTTCTGAAAGAAAATGGGAGATGATTGGGAGAAGAAGCCTTAATCAATTCGTCGTCCGGTGAGGTCGTGAAAAATCGCACCGTTTTCTCCAACCACGTCAAGCGGTGAAAAAGGCTCAGCGTCAAAACTTCTTCCTTCACCTCTCTGGGAGATAACTCCGCTAAGAAGCAAAAGCAAGCACTCAGAGCGCAACTGCTGACGCCTTGTCGAGCCTCCGTACAGCGCTGTTGACCTTTGAGACTCGGAGCACATTAGAACTACCACAAATCTGGTAATTGGTTCGTGTTTTCCCTTTAAAAACGGTGCCAAGATGCTGGAGACAATGGATTTCTTGCAGCCATAACCACATGCGACGACAACATAAGGATTCAAAAACCCTTGACCGTGCGCGTCTTCTTCGCTAGACGACCCACGAATGCCGTGCAACCCATGCACGTCAATGCTAATGAGAAACTCATCGAGCATCTTCTTGTAGGCAGCTCATGATCGATGTCACCACGACTTCCTGGAAGTTCCCGTTTCCGATAATATTGAAGTCGGCTCCACGCTGCGTACCTCCATCTTCAAGGGCACGCCAAATTCACGGCCAGGTAGCAAGCACCTCATGGTGCAAAACCTCTCGGGACGACGATCGCCATTTGTTAATGGAGAGTCTTCTCCAGAGTCACTTCAGTCGATTGCATTCTGCTCTCCAAAATATCAGTAACCCTGAAAGCTAGATCCATGATCAGATTTAACTTTAAGAAAGAAGATCTACCTTTTTCGAGAAGTGATCATGTTCCTACTTGCCGTTATCGTCAAGATCCGAATGCTTACCTCAACACACTCCAACCCCTGAACCACGTGGTCGGAGTGGGAGTGCATCATGTGTGTTGCTATGAAAAAGTCGTGAAAGTCCGAATGTCCTCCATGTCGTGTTTCTGAATTTCTTATCTCATCAACCAATCATCTTTATGCCACTTTAATCAAGTCTTGAAATTTCCCTGTGTCGCTTTCTGGCAATATGAGACCCCAGAAATCGTTTTTGAAAATCGTCCTCATCGCAAAGAAACTCGTCTTCGGCCTCCGATGCAAGGTCATTACGCCTTTGTTGTTCAGCCCTCTATTAGCGGTAGGTTTTTGCTGCTCGCTTACCCCGCTTGTTATGCCTTTCTCCCTTAGGAGAGGCATAAAAAGCGGTAAGAAAAGCACCTTTAGCCTACTCTTAACTCTAGGCCTGTGCAATCCATCTGACGTGTTCCGGTCTATCAGGCTATCGGACCACTGCCATAGGCTGAAACCCGCGATCTTTTCATGCTTCGTCAGCGCTAAAGTGTGGACCTGTAGAATGACGGATTGCACTTCCTCGGTCCATTTTTGCCCATCGGACGGCCCATGCATTCCGAAAATGCCCCCAGCACCGGTTTCGGAACAAATCAATGGCTTGCCAGGAAAGTGATCTTGTGCCCACGCAGCAGAGAAGTCCCATATCTCTGGTATCGTCTGCAAGGCCTCGACGCTTACCGCTTCTGTCGTCGGATACCAACCCTCGTAGCTGTTGAAAGATTCACATTAGAGATGAAGTCAGAGTCGTGGGAATTGAAAAAAAATAGCACTTCTACTTGAACTTAGTTGATCATGAGTTGTGAATACTTATGATCATTTGTTTCATGAGACATAAAAAAAATCCGCGTTATCCCAGTTCACGTCGTGGAATCGACTCGAGCTTGCCCACGACACCAAACGGCCACCGAGATCCCATTTTCTGATAACGTCGTTCGCCAAATAATCGTAGATCTCCTTGCTCTCCTCTTGGCTACTGTGCCCTTCATTCAGGAAGCCAAAGATGACAACGCTAGGATGGTTCTGGGAGTGAAAGACCATTCGTCTCGTAGACTCTGCTACTTGGGCACGGAATTTCGGAGGGACTTAGAGGTACTTCTAGATCTTCTACACTTTTCCTCCAAAATGCCTTCTACAACTTCCTCCCAAAATGCCACCACTATCATTACCGTGAACTATGACCGCGACTCTCCATAATTCTGAAAATCAGCTACCGTATTCTGCCAGCCCACAGACTCTTCCCAGATCAAGATTCCTACTTCGTCGCAGAGGTCTAGCCACCTTCGGTTAGAACCAAGAGAAATCGTCCATCTTGCAACTCATCCTATGTATGAGAACGCTTCTCCCCTTGAAAGAAAACGGTCGCGGCATGCCTTTGGAGATGGATTCCTTGTAGCCTTAATCTGGTCCTGCGGATAATTAGGGGTTGAAAGTTGGCATCTCTAGCTCGCACATCTGTATGAAGAGGTTAACTAAGCAATTTCCAAATAAGTAAAAAATAAAACTATAGCCCGAACCCTAGATATTTTAACTAGCTAGTTAACAAGCGTCTGAGGCAGCCCTGCAGGCGGCCTCCACTTGGAGGCGCGGTTCTGGATCCCTGCAGCCGGTGCCTGGAGCGCGGCCACGAAGTAGACAATGGCCTTCCGATGCAGCTGAAAAGGACCTACTCCAGCCTGGAGAAAGGACCCTCTGAGGCATGACCTCGTGTCGGAACGCTTCGCAAGCCGATCGGAGGGTCGCCAAGAGGACATCCTTCTTCTACTCTAGTACTACAAAAATCAAAAATTTGCGATACTCCTGCTCTGTGATTGAGAGGGCAAGAGTTAACATCTGATCCAGTCTACTGCAGAGGACGAGAGCAAGGAGATTTCTACTTGATTGCCTACGAGTGAGGGCGACAAATGACGAAGATCCTGGCGTTGAATTCGATGGTTTAGATCGTGCGAGTACGAGCGTCATTCGATTTCGATCCAGCCAAGCTCGAGGCAAGAACGATTATGATGAAATAGGTGACGATGGAGGTAGATCTAACTGCACTCAACAGCAGGACAGCTCGTTCATAGGGATTCCTCAACGCCCCAGATTTTTGACCTCAGACAGAACATGATTAGCCCGCCTCATTTAGGAAGAAAATGGGGCATCGCCCCCGAGATATTGAGAAGCAATGCCGGGAACACCTAGAGCAAGTTCTTTCATCAACTTTTGCAATTCGCCACATCTCAGAAAGTGTGGCAGATTTCGCTCTTCAGCCACTAGATTTAGATTTGGGATCAAAAAAACGCGCCAGCTCCAGCAGGTGGCTACAAATTCAGGTGAAAGCTACTCTAAACATGACTCCCGCCTGGTATCGCAAGCAGCGCCACACGCTATCTACTCGAAAGAATGACTTACACGGCATAGTCCTCCTCGGGTTTTCACCTGATGACCAGCACAACTTTTTGATTCACATGGTGCACAAGGCTCACGACTACGCTGGAGTTGACCTTAGGGGGCCTTCATACACGATGCCACGGGAGCGCCTATGCCTGAAGCTGCTGGAGCTGTACAGAGAAGGCCACGGAGTAGAAGACAACCAGCTCGATACAGATGCCGCTTACTCACCGGCAACTCTGCTTGAGAAGCAGATCCGGCGATGCTTCGCGGCCGCAATCCAGGGCAGTGCTCTAATATACACGCAAGGAGCGTGGGAATACGAGTCCTATGATGGCGCCGTGAGTCTCGCGGAGGCTCCTGCGATTCACTACCGGCTGCAGGAAAAGACGCCCGTTGAGAGACGACACGCAGGCAAACCGCAATCCTTGAAGGTGTCCCTCCGCAGGTACAGCCTTACATTTTGCTTCAACTCATACCATAGAAAGCTTAGTCCTAATTACTTTGCTGCTTCTGAAGCGCTGAAAGTTACTCTACTCACATCGCAAACTTTACCAGGGCCAGCGGCAAGGTCTACCAGAAGCACGACTTTGACTACCTACTTCTACACGCACGACAGAAAGAAGACAAGAAAACAAAAGAAAGCGACCTCCTGCACGGCAGCGCTTTAATTCCTGCTCGCATTCTTTTCGAGCAAGGTTTTCTAGCAGCACCAGATGAAAGAAAGTACTACTTTTAGCTTTGCCCGATGAAGGTCCATTTTTTCCATTTGAGGGGGTGTCTTTTCACAATGGGGCACCTTTTGGGAGCGTGTGAGAAAAGCAGACATCATCCTACTCTGATTACTCTCAAATCCAGACTCTCCGCTCAACATCTCTCAGCTGACTTTTGAACCTCAGGACCGACAACTTCAAAGGCCGGCAGAGTCTCTACTTCTATCCAAACGCTCCGGGTGTGCAATACCCTCGAGAGAAGGGCATACTAGAAGCCTTCTACGTCCCTTTAGGGGCCGACTACTCCACGCGGCTTGCGTCTATCATCCGAGAAGAAAGCATGCTCGTCCCTGCTGCGCAGCAGCCTGCAGCAAGTAGCAGCCCTAGGTCTACCACAATAGGCCAGCCATCAACTAGAGCAGACACAGGCGCAGAGTCACACGTAGCACCAGTTGACTTGTCTCAAAACAAAGGAAGCTGCGACCAAATGCCAGGCACCAAGCAACTGAGAAAGTCGAAGAAGTTTATGGAGAGTCTTGCTTAGTAGAGCGGGAGTCAGTAATACAGTCGGGGACGTCTAATTGTAGTCTTTCATTCTTGCTCATCAATCATCAAGCTAGAGGGCAATCACCCCGCATTCTTGTACAACTAATATCTAAAACATCAGGTGCACGAAATTACTCAAGAGGCAACATATCTAGTCGTGACGAAAGTACTTACTTAAATAGGTGGGGCCAGAACTGTGGCTCTACTAAACTATGCACGCACACCAATATAAATTAGAGAAATGGATCATCTAGGTTGTCGTAGTCTTCCTGGATCGCAGATAAGCGCGATTTTTTCGCAGACGAAGTTACTTTCTTGGTTGAACTGCTTGAGCTCGAGGAAGTGGATGCTGATGCTTTTTTACCACTAGACTTCTTCATTACAACGGTCTTAGTTTTTTCCTTGTTCTTGTCTTTAACAACAGAAGTCCTTGAAGAAGACGAGGACGACGGCTGAGGCTTCGTAGCCACCTTCGCTCTCGCAGCAGCTTTGGTCTTGCGGGAGTTCATATCGCTTTTCATCTTCTCCAGAGTATCCCAGACTTCATCTGGGATGGGGATCTCGACGCACTTACTCTGGAGCAAGCCGGAGCTGCATTCATCAACGCGATACAGCTGGCAGGACTCCCTTTCGAGCTTCAGTTCTGCGACGGCGTAGGGCACCAGCTGACCCGCCACCTTCGAGTCAACGTCGCCGGTGGAGTCAACTTCCGGCGCCAGCTTGACGAGGACTGGTCTGTAGTCAGCATTCCAGTGCAGGCGCACCTTATCTGCACCAGCTCCCTGTCGGGTTCTATGGGAACGAAACTGCACTACTGGCTTATTACTGGCAACCTTCTGACCCAGCTCCTGGCGGCGAAGTAGATGATAGACGAGATCTGGGCGCTGTCGTCGCAGACCGCTGTCATGGCCGATGTTGTGGCGTGGTGCACTGCTCATCGGAGCTCCAGCCTCAGCGGTGTTGCAAAGTGCGCCACGGTTCTTGTGACCCGGGGACAAGGAGAACAAGCCGCCACGTGTGATCACTTCTCTCTGTGGAGTCGCCATTTGATGGACCAGCTGACCAACGTCTTCACCACAGAGTCCACGTTTGTAGTTGCAGAAGATGCTGAAACGTTCACTCGGTGGAAGTGCTGCTAAGTCCTCAGTGCAAAGGCCAGGAGAGACACGCTGAAGACCTGCCAGCGATGCCACCTGAAGGTTTTCAGCGGTCGAGAGATAAAACTGCTCTTGTATCACACGCGCGGAGACCCACAAGCCATCTTAGAGCCCCCCCAGCGGTTGCGTTTCACGTTTTAACTCCTACCCTAACTCGGATTAAACTCCTGGCACATGCTCGGGCTCGTTTCTGCTGTTAAGGGGGTCAGCTTTTAAGCCTAAAAAGAACCAGCCTGGTCGTATTTTTTGGCGCCTGAAAACGCAGAAAAAAAGAAGGCGCTTCGGGGTCTTTGTTTCCCTTTTATGCAAGCGGCGGCACATGGCTGAAAACCTAAAAAGTCTGGGCATACTCTTCCAAATGAAACACGACGAAGCCCAGGCGACGCCACTTCAGTGGCCCGCTGCTTGCTCTTAGGTCTAGCTTTCGCCTTTTTTCTTCTTTTTGCTCGCTGCGCTTTCGCCACTGGGCTCATGCTGGTGGCAGGGCCCTCCTTTTGCTCGGCGGTCTCTCTTTTTTGCTTGCGGCGCTTTTGGTTTTTTCTGCCGGGCTCTTGGGCGGGGGCTGTGGGCACTCTTTGGCGGGGCAAACCCGCCCGCCGTGCGCGCGTGCTCCTCTCCCCTTGTGGCCCCCCCGCTAGCACCCCGCCTCCGGGGGCGGCGGGGCCGGGCGCTCCCGGAGAATGAGGCAGCCGCCCTGCAGTGTTGGCTCTGGGTTGGGGTGTCGTTTTTTGTCTGCCGGCTTGTCTGCATTGCAAGCACTATAAGAAAGGCGAAGCTTGGCACCTGCACGCGGGCGGCGGGCGTTGTGTGTGGTATTGGTAGCGCCCTCCTTTGGAGGTTTCTCGCCGCCGCTCTCTACCCATCGAATGGCGGCAGACGCAGGGCAAGCGCTGGCTTGTTGGGTCCATCTGGTGCGCGTGATTTCGTGGCGCTTTTCGAAGTGGCTACCCGGCTCCCCTCCCCTCTTGTGCGCCGTTAGGTTACCGCCCTCATTGGTCGCCAGGAATGGGGAAGCCCTTGCCTTCTAGGCTAGGCAAGGCGCCTTCGCCTGTTTGACAGCCTTACGGCTTCGCTTGGTGTGGTTTGGGAGTGTATTTCGTTGCTGAGGAGAGGCATCAGCTCAGACCAGACCAGCCCCGGCCCCGTCCTAGAGAGCAGCCAGCAGCTCTCTCTTAAAGCGGCAAAGCTATCCAAGTCCACTCCATGCGCTAGCAGAGTAGAGGGCGCGCCACCTCAACTCATGGCGTGCCTTGATGGAAGTCTTTCGAGGAGGAGCTCGGGACGTTATGCTTCCTCGAGAACAATGGAGGCGCGCCAGACGGCCGGCTTGGTGAACAGAAATGAAAAAGAATGGGAAAGCGCTGAGAAAATGGGCCCGGGCTCTCCTCTTCTCGTGCGTTCATGATGAAGATCAAGACGGAGCAAGTTGGTGGAGGGGAGATGATGACAGAAGGCGAGAGGAGAGACAAGCACTAGAAGAACGTAGCACAAGTCTCGAGAAAGTGCCCGACGTCACGCATAACGCGAGCTATTCCCGTTGGTCACCGATACCCATAGCAGTACTCTGCTACTCAAGTAAGGAGAGCGCTGCTATCTTTTCTCTTGCTTGAACTTAAGCGGCGCGAGACGATGACGACGCGACGACCATGACACCACACGGGGCCACTGGTTCAGCATGGTGCGCCGTTGTATTTGAGTACCTACTGCTGTCCCTGTTCGTTGTTGTGTCCTCTCTTGCGTATGAGTCTGGTGCTGTCTGATCTGATTCGGATGCGCTGCAAGTGCAAGCAATACAATGGCAACGCCTTGCGTTGTAGAGAGCGCCCACGATGTTGCTACTCGTCTGGCCTCAGACTGGGCTTGACTTCGATCCCTTTCCGATAGTAGTGCACTGCATAAGAATAAGTATAGAAGAGCACTCGCCCAAATGCTGGAAGTAGAAGCGTGAGGGGTGGATGGCGAATCGGTGCGCTGAATGAGGCCAGCGTGAGCTATTTGCTTCTGATTCTATACGCGTACTAACTTAGTAAGCTGAGAGCTCACTTCGCTACTAGTCTAATGCGATGCCTGGCTCTGGCACTTCTTCAGCCCCGGTCTGGCTCCTGCTCTGTTTTGGATTGATGCTGATCCCCATCGCGATCGCTAAGACTAAGCCACGCCCTAGAATCTGACTGAGAGCGAGACCACGCCAGAGCTAGGCTGGCCGGGTCGTTCTCTACTATTGCCTGCACGAAGAAAAGGCCAGCGCAGACTAGACGCACAGACATGCAGTCAGACGGAGACCCAGGCAGCGCCTGAGTGACTAGATAGGCGGAGCTGGTCACCAAGCGAGCGGGAAACGAAGCCACCGCCTTCGCTTTTTCTTCTGCTTCCCTTCGCGCTGCGCTGCGGCGGGGCGCGGCCTGCCTTTGGGTTTTGCTTTTGTGTTTCCGTTTCCCTGGGCCTCTCCTTCTGGCTCTGCCTCTTCGTCGTCCTCGTCCTCGTCCTCTTCTCCTTGCCGAGCTCGGCACCGCTGCCACACTCCGCAAGCTCATCGAGCGGCGTGCCTTGTTCTCCAGCTGATTCCAGTCCCTCACTCCCCAGCTTCCTCAACTGAAGAACAGCACGCAACGCCGGCAGCGCCTTGGGTTGGTCAGCATCCACCCGCGCAAAAAACTTACCCAGCTCCGCCAGGTCTTTGCCATTTGCTAAGGGGCAAGCCCCTCCAAGCCCTAGGCGCGCCCTGGATTCCCGTTTCTTGTTGCTCCACGTTTTCGGCTCAGCGCCAGCTTTGGCTTTGGTCCCCACATCCAGCTGGGGGCCCAGACTCACCCCGCCACACCCGGACGGCGTTCCACCTCCAGGCCTGACCAACCTCCGCGCCATCTTCTGCGTGAAGGAATGGCCGCGCCAGGTGCAAGCGGGCCCTTTTGGTTTGACGGTGGAAAAGCAGGCCCAGTATGTAGCGCCTCCGTTGAGGGTAATGCCCACGAGTGCCGCGCCATTTATAGCGTCGGGCCCCTGTCTCTCCCTCTGAGTATGAGGAATACACGCACGGCGGCCGTGCGTCGGTCTCTTGGCGCAGCTTTTTCTGGTAGAGGTCATCTGCAAGCCTTCGAAACCACTCCGGTGGCTTCAGCGCCGGGCCGACTGTGCTGCCCCGTGCGGTCGTGGAGCCATAGCGAGTAAGCCAGTAGATGAGAGCAACAGCTCGACACAACGCAGACGACTAGACTTGGCTCTGGCATGGGATTGACATTGATGAGAAGCGAAGACAATG